ATAGTGTTCGATAAAGGTGTCAAGTTAGTTTAGCATAGAATGTAAAGTCGCCTGTCGTCCAACAAGCAGAATGGATCACAGAATAAACATCATCAATAATCGTCTCAATGTACTAGATTAACATGACATGGCTTGTCTGATCAGGAAAGTTAACTTTTGCAAATCATTTGCCAATTCAGTAGGTTACACACAAGGATGTGCTAAAGAAAAACTTGTTGGTTCCGTTTTGGAGTGAAAACATCGCAAAATACATTTCGCTTTCTTCGTGCTGAAGAACGTAGCTTCTTTGCAAGGGTGGATAAACCAATCAAATCTCGAGCGAGTCGGATACTCTGAGATGCTGTTCCCTATTACGAAGCAACACGGTTTATCTTAATGGGAGGTCCCCCCAGGAAGTGTTCGTTCAACAGCAACAGGTGTAGTTCTCCAACTAGGCTGTTTGTCTGTAATGTGGATAGAACAAAAAACGATTTACTTGGTCCATTATATGCCAACTTTCGCATCCAGCGGTGGATTTTTCCACCCAGTTAACCACAATTCGACCAAAATCTCCAGTCATTCAGTTCACAAAGTCGGATCGATCTGATGTAGAAAGATCGTCTCACTTGTCACCTGCGTTTTGGACGAAACAGCGTCAAAAATTGCGTGTTATGTTCAAATAAGCTCTGGATGGTGCCTAACTGGAACCGTGTATGTCGCTGAATTAAATTGTTTATATAAATCTGACAAAATAGCGGGCAAAGTCCATTTTATGATGTGGTTTCGATTAGCGTGATAAATCGAAATAAAACATCACAGAAGGGAACACAGTTCTTTCACGTTTTATCCATAGCACCTGGACAGCCACACAGTGTACGTGCCCAAAATGCGTTTGTAACTCCCAAGTACAACCTCTCTGGCAACCACCTCATGTGCCTGTATCACACAGCCGACCACTTTATCGTTCCCAAACGATTGCTGTTTTTGCAGTTATAAAGAACACGTTGTAGCTGGATTTCTTGGCCTAAGAACAAAAGTTGTTATTCCGACTCTCTTTATTGGTTGAAAGTAACTGTTGAAATCAAAATGTGTTAACTTATCAACACGTCTCATCCTGGTTTAAAGCAACAAATAGTTTGAATTCGTTTGCTTGACCAAATTGTTGAACCTGGAGACTCGATGTATCCCAAGTATCATATTATTATCCTTCCACATAATGTGTAACTCACGGGTTCCGTCGCGTACGTTTTCAAAAACGTTGCTTTTGTGTGATAGTATGAAACAATCAATGGTAGTCCTCTTGTAGCCGCTATATTTGTGGATAACTAGGAAGACTCTGTCCGCGGGAATGGTCTCTTCCTAACTAGCACAAAAATGTGGCTGAAAGCTCGCCTGAAGTAACGCTGGAACTGGAAACATGTTTGGGTCTATCAAATCCAACATCGTATCACTATTCCTCCAGATAATACGCGACACGTAGGCTGCTCCGAAATTACGTTGCAGGGTAGCAGGCTTCGGAATATGTCGCATTTAGTCATTCCGTAGCATGACATTAAATGGATGTTTCAAGGAAACTGATGTCGTTTCCAGTACAGTTTAAACACATCAATGCTGCTCATCAGAGACTTTTGACCGAACGGTATGCTGTTTGACTACTAACCACAAACTCCTGAAGGTTGGTGTGATGTGCAGCTTTGATAATTCCCAAACTATAAAACAGCTATACAGTCCTTCTCCGTTTTTCATCGGTTTTTGAACTTTAGTTACTGGCTACCTTCTCTAAATATTCTCACCATTTGTAAGCCGTAAATACTCCGCCAAAAAACATACCACAGATGCGAAAATTCGAGAACAGAGTCAAGCAACATCAGGTGAGCGGTAGGCAGTTTCGATTTCGAATAAATTATACACGATACGGGTAATACATTAGTCTCCCTACCGGAAGCTCTCAGGTCACCATCAATAGTTTGCTGTACTGTTGAAACTGATTCCGCTAATCACAGTTAACATTGGCATGCCATTCCTCCCGTGAATCGACTTTCCAGTTGTATATCTTATAACCACTGAAGAAAAGAGGCGTTCATTTCAATACGCATCCGAGAGAGGGTCATTCTAAAGTGGGCGAGATGTCCCAAGTGGTTAGAGCGCAAATGTACTGACCGGAAGGTTCGTGGTTCGAATCCGACCTCTGCCACTCGACTCCCCCTGTCTAGGCTTGGGCAACCTGGTAGTGTCCCAGCCTTCGTGATTCCTTCGGGTGGCATGGCAGCTAGGCACCGGAAGGGCGCTACAGCTGAACGTTTTCTTTCGTTCATTCTAAGGCAGTCTCACTTGCCTGTCATTGACTTTACAGTGGCGTAGGCAAGTAGAAAGTCCAACATGTTCATCGCCAAAAACCTGGTTGCCTCGGGACCAACACGGTGTTTTGTCAGCCCAGTAGGAGATTGATGAAAGAATGACTTGGTGCAGATGGTGGACAACATGTGGGTGCCTTTTACTACAACCAGTATCATATAACCAGTCTTCATTGAGTTGGAAGCTGCAGCTAACTCGAATCATTTTGTGTATCGTAATCCCCGCGAACTTACATAGTGAGATACGTATTCTGATTAGTGAAGAATAGGAGATATCAAGTGTCGTTTAAGTCATCTGTGATGTTGTGTGGCTCTTTGGTTCAGGAAAGCGAAGGCCAATACCTAATTCAGCATTGCACATACTGTTCCTGATCACGTGAGGAAAAAACTGGGCGTTTTATTTAGCAACTAGATGATCAAAATACTGTGAACTGTTTGCTCAACTTCAAAACTTGGCCGTTGTCCCTGACGATGCCAAACAGTCAGTCGGATAAACTGGTCAAACCAGGTCGCAAAGGAATGATACACAATAATGCAGAAACAAGTTGGTGTGGTGGAGATTGTATTTGCCCAAATTCATGTGATTCGGTTCAGATCCATAAAATACATTCACATTTGCTTGCCCGAACAAACATTTTCTGAAGCATACAGCACACCACTTTCGCCGCTAGGTTTGTATATAATATTGCATAGAGTCTTGCGTGAACAAACTTACAGCCTCGAGGGACCTCAGAATACCCAGAAAGACCCCGTTCTAAATATAAATGAAACCAGGTCGCATAGGAATGGTACGCATCACTGCAGAAACAAGCTGGTGCGGTGGATATTGCATTCGCCCAAATGCGTGTGATTCGGTTCAGATCCATAAAATACATTCACATTTGCTAGCCTGAACAAGCATTTTCTGAAGCATACAGCACACCACTTTCGCCGCTAGGTTTGTATATAATATTGCATAGAGTCTTGCGTGAACAAACTTACAGCCTCGAGGGACCTCAGAATACCCAGAAAGACCCCGTTCTAAATATAAATGAATGGTGGTAATGAAAACGTTCCTTTCGGACAAAGAGAAGACCTGCTTTCCAAGCATTCAAACAACCACGAGCAAGCATCGTTTTTGACAGTTTACCAACGCATTACAGTTGTAAGTCGAATAAAGTCTGAATTGTCGGATGAATTTTACGAAACAGGAATACAATTTCTTACTATTAATCGGATGACTTGATGATTTTGTTTTCAATTGGTTGAATTTCGCTGACGTATTTCATAAGAGATATTCGTTTTTCATGAGTCCTATATATGGCATCATTAGATTGTTTGTGTTCAAATTTATCATGTTCGGACCTCTCCCCTTTATCACTGCGCAGCTCTTCTAATTAGTCGACAGGGCAAAGCAATATACTAGTGCTCATCTGCAATGCAAACTTCACATTTGCTTGCCCGAACAAACATTTTCTGAAGCATACAGCACACCACTTTCGCCGCTAGGTTTGTATATAATATTGCATAGAGTCTTGCGTGAACAAACTTACAGCCTCGAGGGACCTCAGAATACCCAGAAAGACCCCGTTCTAAATATAAATGAATGGTGGTAATGAAAAGGTTCCATTCGGACAAAGAAAAGACCTGCTTTCTAAGCATTCAAACAACCACGAGCAAGCATCGTTTTTGACAGTTTACCAACGCATTACAGTTGTAAGTCGAATAAAGTCTGAATTGTCGGATGAATTTTACGAAACAGGAATACAATTTCTTACTATTAATCGGATGACTTGATGATTTTGTTTTCAATTGGTTGAATTTCGCTGACGTATTTCATAAGAGATATTCGTTTTTCATGAGTCCTATATATGGCATCATTAGATTGTTTGTGTTCAAATTTATCATGTTCGGACCTCTCCCCTTTATCACTGCGCAGCTCTTCTAATTAGTCGACAGGGCAAAGCAATATACTAGTGCTCATCTGCAATGCAAACGCTCGGTTGTGCCAGGGTTTTAATCCTGGGCACTTACCTCGTTGAGAACAAGACAAACACCTCGTTCAAGGGTGAACACAGTGGTCTGTTTAGACATGGCGATTCAGATGCAACCGCTGGCTCCACCATCTTGTCCTGGATGGCCATGGATGTGAAGTTTTCTTTACCTCCAATACGAAGGACCACTGAGTCCAGTTCTTCTCCAGTTTAGTGTAAACAGTTCAGGATCAGAAGGGAACTGTCCAGATACACACAGATTCCAGAAAGCACACAGCAGTTTACAACATCAAATTGGATGAGATCTAGCGGATATTTTCAACGTAAACAATCAAGCACCTCCACCAAAAACTTTGCATTCTGAGTATACCTACTAGACCCATTTCTTTTTGAGTCAGACAAAGCGCAACGCAGTGAGCTGTTGACTGTTAGATTCGAAGTCATTCAGAACAGATTTCAGTGGCATAGATTGGTGACATACACTCAACCTTGCTGTCCTTGTTCAACTGCATTCTGAAATCCGAGAGTTGAAAGATATTTTGAGTCAAACTGGGAGGGTTGGATTTCCAGACCAGATGAATCTGACCATAAGCTGAGAGTCGAACAACGATCGGAATGGCGAACAATAGAAATTCGTTCACTACTGCTGAACTAAAAGCCGTTGGGTTTATCATACGATTGTATATATGCGCAGCTTAAAAAAAACGAGTTACAAAATACGAAGCTCCAGGGCTGACTAGGTCGACCCAAATCTCGGACAAAAATTGAATAGGAAATCTGATATATGTTTTTCCAAACGATCCAAACGGTGATGGATTCGCTGCAGTTCTGTCTTGAAATGGCCATACTCATTTGTGTTGTCTGTCGTTTGTTGACTTTTGCTGCTATCCTGATGAACTTCTTCGATGTTTGTTTCGTTGTCTGCTGCCAGATGGTGCAATCTAGATGAAGGTGTCAGGAATACAGATCCGGGGTCAGCATAGTTAAGAAAGACAAACAACGTTTTTCGCTCTCATTCCGTTTTGAGTTCACTAGTATATGTGAATCTAATTTTAACTGAGTGGTAGTTTGCCGGAAAGTACAGTGAATGTTGGAGAGCGAAATCATTTCCATTTACCTTACAGACGAAGGCAACTAGTGAGGCCATACTTGAAACGTAAAAAATAAGTTTGCTTCGCTTGTTGTGGGGGCGGGGGGCTTTTACACCTAACCTTGGGAAATGTGAGACACATTGTCTATCCTTGGAAACGGAAATCTGTATTGCTTTGCTGAACAAGGATAACACATCAGTCAAGCGGCGGGAACTATGGGATGTCATCTGCCATGGCTGGCCCAGACTGGCGTATACTCATTACATTAGCAGCACCATAGTTGTCTGGACCATGCAATCCAGGTAGAAGCGAAATTAATACCAAAATTTTTGCATAATCGCATACATTTAATCGGACTGGTTTGTGATAAATCAAAAGAATAAAACCCCCGGTTGGAAGAGTATGCCGCTACTGCATTCCACGAAGCGGTAGCGACCCGGTCACCCACATACTTGACTGTTCAACTCAATCGCTCACTGGACCGCGAGGCTTGTCTATTTTCTCATACGCACAAACACGTCGCAATAAGCTGACACATTGGACATCGATTGTCGCTGTTGTATTCTACATTCAAATTTTTGGAGCTCACCAAATTTCATTGTTCACTGAAGCAACCATGCCCCTGGCTGAAAAGTCTTGTGGGATGATTCGCCAGCATCGGTGAGACCCCAGGATACCTAAATGGGACTTAAAAGTCTTGACTGGTACTCTCAACTCAATTGCCCGATTGCTTTAGTCTATCAGGGACAGGTCATAACTTTCGAAAAATCAATTTCATTGTGCTAATACTGAGTGCCTCGGTTACATGTATAATCTTCGTATGTTCAAAAGCAGAAAATAGTCGGAGAATCCAGCCACTGTTTTATTGGTTAACTGCTGTAAAATGCATCTTAAGCTGTTGAATGGTACCTACTATAGCCAGCGGCAGTTAAAGTGAAACAGGTTTGGATCTTCAGCTATTACACACTGCATGAGCAGCGTTAAGTAGAGTAAGGCAGATATCTTTGCACTGGATGACTAATTTACATCAGGTCATTTCACAATGGCATCGTAGGTAAGTGCTAAAGCACTTCACTATTCGCTGAAACATTTGCCTAAAATTCCGGAATATTAGTCCTTAAAATGAACTGCTGGAAACGGTATCGTAGTTCACATTAAGTCAGAAAAATACGTAAGTAAAGACACGGGTGTATTGAATACACGCGGCCAACCTGTCCGCTTTCGTGGCGGTAAGCAAACAGCTGAGCCATACATCCAGTCAAACCACGGTGCCCATTATCCGCACAATGCTCTCAGCTGCAAAAACTTTACAAGTGAAGTAAAACTTTTCGTGCCAAAATGTTGCATTTTGTTGCGTATTTGCTCAAACCAAAAGCTGTTGTATTCTACATTCAAATTTTTGGAGCTCACCAAATTTCATTGTTCACTGAAGCAACCATGCCCCTGGCTGAAAAGTCTTGTGGGATGATTCGCCAGCATCGGTGAGACCCCAGGATACCTAAATGGGACTTAAAAGTCTTGACTGGTACTCTCAACTCAATTGCCCGATTGCTTTAGTCTATCAGGGACAGGTCATAACTTTCGAAAAATCAATTTCATTGTGCTAATACTGAGTGCCTCGGTTACATGTATAATCTTCGTATGTTCAAAAGCAGAAAATAGTCGGAGAATCCAGCCACTGTTTTATTGGTCAACTGCTGTAAAATGCATCTTAAGCTGTTGAATGGTACCTACTATAGCCAGCGGCAGTTAAAGTGAAACAGGTTTGGATCTTCAGCTATTACACACTGCATGAGCAGCGTTAAGTAGAGTAAGGCAGATATCTTTGCACTGGATGACTAATTTACATCAGGTCATTTCACAATGGCATCGTAGGTAAGTGCTAAAGCACTTCACTATTCGCTGAAACATTTGCCTAAAATTCCGGAATATTAGTCCGTCGCAAAGGTATGCAAAGCACGAGGTCATTAGTAGGGCAGTGGGACAGAGTAAAAACAAGCCAGTCAGCCAAAAAGCATAATGTACTAAATGTCGAAAACAGATGAAGGCAGCTTGGATGTGGGGTGGGCAAAATAACATCATTTGATTGGATCACACTCGGATATGTCGCTGAGGAATGTTTGTAAACAGAGACACTGGAAAAATATGTTTATTGGGAGAAAAATTAATATTTTGGAATTTTGAAACAATGATAATGATTCGGTCATTGGCAGACTAGCTAGCGCTTGATTCAACCCAGTTTTTGGGTAACCAGACAGCTACAACCGATAAACACATCACCAGGGAATTTGACCTTGATAACAAGGACAGAGGACAGGCAGTGGACAATGAACGAACTTCAGTTCCGCTGCACAAACCATCCTCTGTTTTTTCGAACGTTTTTTTTGCCTCATCCAAGATTTATTGCCTCTCTCAGTTGGGTTTTATCTATTCAATGAAATGCTAAGATGTGGATATCGGCTCCATGATGACGTGGCTTACAAATCTATAGTTTAGGCTAGATGAAGTATGCCTTCATAGACATTTGTGTGTAGTGATCCACGCTCCAGTAACCTAGTAAGTGTGCGATCGGATCTTTCGTTGTGTTGGCTGAGATCTAAGAATCAGTTTTCATCCAGAGTCAATACCACATTTTAAAATCCCGCTTGCCTTAAAGTCCATGAAGTACTTTAGTCTGACTGGGCATTCCCCTTAGCATTGTACCCTCCGAATGAGGGTATCCCGAAGAGATGCAACCATTCCACTCAATCTTTTTTAGAACAAAACGCAAATGCTAGGTCTTGAGCTGGATAAATATAAAGGGATGGCCAGGCTGAACTACACTTATTGACGCAGAAGGGCTTCTGAAGACTGACACAGTGTACCGTGAAAGTAACAGGTGCTTGTTGATGGGAAGGACAACCAAAGCACTGTTTGTCTGAACACATCTCATGTGCGGTACAGGGTGCACGAAACGCGTGATTCGCCGATGTTCACTGAGCTTGACCACAGCTGTTCTCGTTGTTGTCAGAATAAATTCTCCCGAAATATATGCTTTGCGATTCTAGTGAGAGATTAGTTCGCCGGCAAAAAGTCATCGTTTGTAGCGAAACAGCAGCAACGTCTCTGAGCAGTTTGGGCAGATTTCTCAGGTTACCATGCGTTGCGAAGAGATAGTACGATATGTAGAAATAAGGGAGCATTAATCTGGTGCCGAAAATGTGTGATTCGTCTTGTAACAGTACCTTGCCAAGAGATAGTACGATATGTAGAAATAAGAGGGCATTAATCTGGTGCTGAAAATGTGTGATTCGTCTTGTAACAGTCCTTCATCCTGCTTGGCATCACTCCAATTGAGGGTACATTTCGCATGCTCAAAAAAGGAGTACGATGTTTGCTTGGATTATGTGGCACTTTTTAAACGCTATTGAGTGTAAAATGTCAAAACAATGAACGTACTCTCGTCCGAGTCCCATCAAGTTTCTTCATCATTCAATCATTCCATCATAATAGTAGTAGGCTTATTCCGCGTGCACCTATCCGACTGAATATTCATGACTTGGGACAGGTGAATATTCTGAAACTCCCCGCCTGTGCAGACGTAGACGGTAATGCACGTACAAAAGCGTTGATACAACACCGAGTATCGCACATGTCCGCAAACCTTCCGGCTCATACTTCCTGCGGTTCAAATCAGAACTTTCGCTACAGTTCAGCAAGCTCTGTTCGAAGTTCTAGCGTGCCTTTGAAAGGAAAGGTACATGTAGCATACGGATCGACGTCATCGAATGACCATCAGAGTGTGGCTTAAAAGACCGCCTAAGCGGTAGGAACGTGTATTTGACTATGGTGTACACTGCTTCTAGAACAGCCTGTACGAAAATCATATGTCTGTTTTGCATGCCTTGTTGATCGGGAAACCGTGTTCTTTGGCTGCTGGAAGACGTTTTAGAGAATCTGTAATTCTGGAAGGTTGACATTGGATTCCACGTTTGATTCGAAACCCTGCTGTTGGTAACAAATTGTAGAGACTGGTGCGCAGCTCAATGTTTTTTTCTTGTCACATTTTGAAAATTAGAAATCTTCATTAAGAGCCTATTGTTCGATTGAACAGATGGATATGTTTTCTTAGGATCAAGACTCTGTTGTGATGACTAGGCCCGCTTGTTGAGTGTTTATCTACGTGTAATTCAATTTTCAGCTACGAAATAAGCTTGACAGAAGTTCTGGGAATATTCCTCTTATTGAACCCAGGAACTGGTAGCGAATGTTCTATCGCATTCTTCGATAGCCTTACCGGTGATGTCATATTTAGAAGGGCAAACATAAAGTTGACGGAAACTCGGGGACTGCGCCTGCCTTATGAGCTCCAAAAAGGGCGAAATCGGTCGTCTGGTGTCGAAGAAGTCTCGGAAACGTTATGCATAGTGCATTACAAACATACATGTGTCATGATATCTCGAATATCGTAGCAACTGAAGCATGAGGCGGCCTGGTGCAGCACTTTCATTTTGCCTGGAAACAGCACAAACAAGAGATTCAGCTGGGTTCCTGGTGAGTCTCTTGCAAAACCAAACGTAAACAATGACATGATTTCAGAATAATCGAACTCATTAGTTTTCATGAGATAGCTTACCCACTCTGTTCTTCCGTGAGGGAATAACGGTATTGTGTCTCTGCTGCAAACGAATGTTGGGACTTCTCTCTGTCTTTGTCGGGAGGTATTTCGTGGTTGATTCGCTTTTGACCAACAAAGCATCTACTCAACTTACGCACGTCACGTTTGTTTTTTAGAAGTAGGTATGACTCGCTGTGTGACCCCCAACTCTGGTCGCTTGTTGTCACAGATGAGTCACTGCACAGCTGAATGTCTGAGGAAGGAGCGATTGGGGAAAGCATTGATTTGGAACGATCTGTATTGGGCCTATGCAAATCGGAATCCTCATCTGCCATTGTCACTTTGAGCACGGGTAAAGTATGTCGTCGACCTTTGCCATGGTGAGGCCTCACAGACAAGTGTTTGTTCCGGGTAGTTTCCAAGCGTACAGAATTACGCGGGTATTTCCTAAATCGTCTTCTGACACTTACATCTGGTGCACTAAAAATCGCACCAAGCGAGGTTCCTTGAAGTCTTCGCTTGTCTGTTGTCCGTTGTGAGGCGTCTAGTGGACGCCTCGGATAATATCTCATGCTGCTAAAACTGCTGTCCGATAGTTCTTCGTCCGCTTGAGTGTGAGAAGTGTCGAAACGTGTGTGTGCTTTACCCGATTCGAGTTCACCAAGACTCCTACAAGACCGATGAAGACCTCGGTCCTTGTTCTCACCCAACATAAACGCTGACGGATGCTGCTCCTCCAGATCCGAATTCCGCACGGTGATAGCTGGCATGACAATGGAATCGTGAATAACGTGACTTTCCTGAAATCGAGGAAAACGGTACTTTAATCACACAGCTGATGGTACTTCGGTGCTGCTCCATAAAAACAGGCAAGTGACGCTTGTGCCGAGAGAAGACGCAAGTTAGCTTTCGAGCATTGTCAGGGAACTGATGCAAACTTACACTGCAGGGACACAAAGTTGTTTCCATCCTGATGGCTAAAAAATCAAGTATGAATGATACAATCTAAATATCACTGAGATGTTGGAGCCTGTGGACCACTAATAGTTTCTTTCAGATAGACGTTGGCCTGTAGTTTGTGGCTTTATAATCCACTCAAATTTATTTATTTTGTTTGCATTCACGAATAACGTGAAACTAGTGGTGCTTTTCACAACACGCTTAGCATGACACCAGCCATACAGTTCCAAGTTTTACAAGCGTGCTTTTAAGAGAATCAGATGTGTTGGAATCAAGACTATCATCAGCCGATTTATCATCGAAATGTTCTAACCAATACCACACCGATTGTTGGTGTCGAATGAGAAATGAAGCAGACATCGGAAACTTGGTTTTCGCAACTGCCTCTCAGGGTTCACACAAGTTTAGCAGTGATGTCCGCCACGGAGAAGATTTTTCTCGATTGAACTGTATTCGAGACCAAAAATAAGCCATCAGTTTTTCCGAAATATTCCAGCTTTGCTAAATAGACGTAGGACAAGTAGACGTAAGCGCTCCTGTAAGAATCATGCCCGTTAGTAAGTCATTGAGACTGCGTGAACTTTCGAAGGGATGAATGTAGACTGAACTTAAGTTGGAGTTTCTGCTTGATCCACTAGTACAGACGCTTAGTCTCGAAACCATACATAGCGACTAGACCGGGGTCAGAATGCTTAGTTTAACACCCGGGACTATGAATACAGGAAATTCACAGCCTTGGTACTCTATGGGATTGGGGAAGATACGGGTAATTATGCGACCTCCCTTTCAAGCTTTGACTGAACACGTAAACTACGGAAAAATGTTGCGACGAAACTTCCACTCGTCTTTTGAAGTGACGACCTGAAGCAAACTGAGGTAGTCGTATATCTCAGCTGGAAAATGTTTGGGACCGGTTTGGGATCAGTCACCGTTTCAGATTGGCTGGTATACAACTGGCGGATTTATTCCTGGGCAAAGTTTCGCTTTTTTACACAAAAGCTCAGTCAGGCCAAGTAGGTTTTAAGGTAGTCAGGGAAACAATCCGTGAGATTTCTTATGACTAGCCAACTTTATCAGTACATATTATAGTGTTTCTTTGACTTCAACCACAAACCAGCCTTTATCAGCATACTACTCTCTTATACGGAACATTTTTACTACACAGAATTCATTTTGGGTTAGACATCTGTTTGACCATGTAGTGTGGAATTTCATTGGCACCTGGTACTATATGACCTAGTAAAAACGCAGAAGAGTTCTCTCAGTCCAGTATTGACCCGTATTGTCAGTTAAAAAACGTCAAATCACTCTCCTGTGGAACAGAAGATGCGTTGGCCGAGTGAAATTTTAACCAGACTGACAAAATGCAACGAGGTATCTTGATGCTGCATGGTCGGTTGCGCTTTGTTCAAGACTTTTCACGTTATTCGCTAATACCAATAAGTTGTTAGTATCATGTGTTATATTATGATCGTGTCGGTCGCACTCTCTTCATTTGGCTCGGAGCAGGTGGTATTTATTACCTACTTGGCCGTCAACAGACTTGGCCTGCATGTACGAGGTACAAAACCAATGAAATAGTCCACAAGATTACCGAAAAAAGTCTTAGTAGAGGAGCCGATGGGCAGATAGAATTCGATACATTTAAAGCTTATTCTGATCATGGTCATTGACTCACTGCTCCCTCCTGAATATTAAAAGACAGGTCTTCACAAAGGTAGGCAATAAATTCCGACTTGAATTTCGGATATTGATCCAGGACTTGGTTGAGTGAGGTCAAATCGATGCACTGAAGGTCGCAGTAGGTTAGCGATTTCACGTCACAGCGAGAACGTATCGTTTCCCCTGGATGTGTTGTGGTATTGATGTAGGTACCAAACCAGTCATTCTTGCCTGTTTGTCGTGGGAGAGAAATCAGGAATTTTAACCGTCAGAACCTGGTGGGTCGAAGAACAAACAACTGTTTCATGTCACAGAGGATTTAAAAATACTGCAGGTTTCTCAACGCGGGAGGGATTTCCAGGTTGAACTTTCCGAAGACGTTTCTGTTCGAACTGAAGGAGTAAGAATACAAATACTTTCGGCTTTCGATGATTTCTGTAGCGTGATGACAACTTACTTTGCTTATTCTACGCTCTGAGTGGTTATTTTAGCTTGCAATTGATCACCAGCAGTTAAGTTCCCTAAATACTCCGTGGCAAGGCTTTGCTAGTCTGGCTAGGGTCTGCAGGTTTCCGGTAGCTGACTTAATCAGTCACAGTCGCATTGAGCAAGTTCACTGGAGTTAAAAGTGACGTATCTGTCATATTTTTCGGGAATATTTGGAGGCGGTAAAGCAGTAGTGTTCACCTCTTAGAACTAACCTGCTCTTCGATGCTCTTGACAGTTAGACAAATTAAAAAATACTCAACCAAAGTGTAATTGTGTGCAGAATTCAGACCACCGTTCAAGAAAGCACTAGTTACTACTTGTTTAGAAGTTTGCGTTTGTTGAATTTCATTGTTCTATCATGATTTCGTGGCTCTATTGATAGTCGTTTCCAAAAGCTTTGATCACGAAAAACGGTTGACTAGACTTATTCTTCCAGATTATGCCTGCATTTATAATATAGGATTTGAACGGGTGACAGTTCGCTACGATCTAATATATTTAAAACGCTAAAATCTACCAGCAGACCGTACTCAAACAAGTATTGGAAATAAGTTTACCAAAATCGATTTCAACCAGTGGAATTGGATTGAGAGGACACATTGTTACGTAGTTAATCGGTAAACAAATACTCTTGTGGTGGTAGTCCCATACCAAAGACCTGACCAGAATTTCGCCTTAGTGGGCAGTACTTAATCAGCAATCGCCACCCATGTTAAGCCCAACCAATTCACCGAGGCAGAAAATGTTTGTTGATGCTGTCGGTAGGTCTCTTTCTCCCTCCAAAAGTTCGAAACCCAGATAATAAGTGAGGGAAATATACAAAAACGTGATACACACTGTAAAAAGAAACTGTAAAGAAACTAGAGCTTGCAGTAGGGTTGTGCAATGTCCTTAGAATGTAGCTTATCCTCAAAATATTTTTAGTGAATCATGAGACCATTTCTTGAAAAATCATTTGCCACTGGTACTTCCTTGATGTTCTGCTGCTGTGAGCTCAGCTTGGCTGGAGACACATTATTGGAACATCACCGTTTCTTATATTGAAGGGTGAAAACAGTTGCCGACATAGCTAAAATCAAACAAAACGGTGACTGCCTCTTTCACTTATTGTGCGCCTCTACAGACGGTACCCGGTTTTATGGTTCAGTTTGCCTAGGTGCCATGAATTGTCTGGATACCAGTTTGTTCATGTGACTTTGTACATGAATGAGAGAGTTTTCAGTGCCTCAGGTTTGCGATGTCCACTCGGCCTGAAGTACAAAGACCTAAAATGTACCTCGGATGTAGTTCAGATAGTGCTGACGTTACCTGAAAAGGCATTGTACCGATCAGCTTTTAAATTCATCACTATTTACCCATTCTATTTGTTTTCCGCATAATCAGACTAGAAATGGATGTCCTGAGGAGATTTACAACCTTCACTTCATCGGCAAAGCAGCGGCGCTAACCAGCTTAGAATAAATCCCTTTAGTATTGAGAGCTCACAAATCTTTGTTCATGGCTTAATGGTAAGAGCGCAAATTTACTGACCGGAAGGTAAGTGGTTCGAACCCGACCTTTGCTTCTCGACTTCCCCTGTCTGGGCTTGGGTAACCTGGCAGTATCCCAGCCTTTGGCTTCCTTCGGGTGACATGGGCAGCTGGACACCGGAAGGGTATTATAGCTGAACGATTTTATTCAGCGTACACCAATAACTCCAATGGAAGGGTATTACAGCTGAACGATTTTATTCAGCGTACATCAATAACTCCAACTGAGGGAGCAAGTATTTCTGTAGAAATCGCAGGCAGGGCGAGTGCAAGCGCACACGTTTAATACCGTGACAATGCCTTATTTTCAACTTACCCACCCCTGGATTTGCTGGTGTTCAGCTACTAAATGTGGCATCCTTCCGAAAGTCACACTGAGGATGATGTATGAATAAAACTTCTTACTGCGTTCCCTGTCAGCACTGCGAAGCTTCTGCGTTGGTTATTTCCCATAAACACTGAAATACACTGAATTTATCGTTTCAGCGTCAATGGTGTGCCAAATGTAAAATCATGTCGCACCCACATCAACTGACACTATGCGTGTCTCTAGGCGCCAGTGACACCTTGTCAGGTTGTCTAACGCCAAACATTTTTTGTGGTCTTCGTGATAATCCTATGATTTTTCTAAGAAGGTTTGGGAAGCCTTGACTTTTTCTCTTAACCGGACAACAAAGACTATTAAATGCCAAGCCGATGAGTATAATACCATAAAAGGATAACGCACCCTACCTTATCAGGTCACCCCAGTGGACGAGAATATTCTGGGGTTCCGAATGTCGAATAATAATGATCGGTGAAGAGGAATAATGCAACTGGGAAAGAAATAAAAAAAGCTCATTTATTTCCTTTAATAGGTGTGGCGCAGTGTTGGGGAATCGGCCGTTGAAATGTGTGATGGTTAATTAGTGTATAAACTTCGTTAGACCCCACTGAATCAGTTTCAGTATGCTAGTTTTCGCCGTTAATATTGTTGCTTGTACATCTACTTCCACCATGGTTAGGCTGACGGTGGTTTTTGTTAATTTTCATCGCGAAAGCCATCGCAAATCCAAAGGCTGCAAGAAAACTAATCCACTGCTCCGCCCGCACTGATGGAAAGCAAGAATGCGTTGTCTGATTAGGCTCAGCCAATCGCAAGAACCAAACGGTTTTTTGGAAGCTTTAACAGTTCGGGCAATCTCCGTGAGTCCGTCGAAACGATAGTCCTTTCATATTTGGTGTGTGATCCTGGCTGACAAAAACAGCAATTTATAGTCTGACTGCTGACAACTTCACACAACTTGACCAGCTGAACAGCTTGTTGAAGGCTGATCGCGCAATTAACCCTTGTTTCTTTTGACTGCGGTTATTTTGCAGATGATAATGGATCATTGAAAGACTTAAATTGGTCCATTTCCCCACCACTCATCTGTTCCACCCCATTTCCACTAAGTACAAAGCAGATAACCTAATACCCACCTTCCTATCATCCCAACATTAAGAGTACATAAGATACCTTGGAAACTAGTTATCTGGATAGCTGCTAGGGGTCCAATAATTCATGTTTGTGTCCCATCTAATCGATCGATTTGGTGGTCAATGAGAATATCGAATTCTCATATCTATCTCATTGGTTTTGTGATAACAAATCCGCAATGGTTTCACAGTTCACAGCAACGGACTGCTTACCCAGAAGTGCAACTACCTCACCGTTATCCAATATCTCCAACGATCCACTGCACACGAAATACAAACGCCTCAAAACGTCACCCGAATGGATGAGGTGTTCGCCCGGAGTGAAAAAGGTTGTTTTGATTTGCATCGCCAAACTCTTCAAGCAGTCTTGGCTAGCGTTTTTGAAAACCTTCAAGCTGAGGATTTCTCGGTTGAGCTGCAAGCAAATGTCCCTTTGTAATTCCTCTGGGTACATACTCAGAACCTGAATGGGAAAAACATAGCCGGTACCGTTAGTCACGTGACATTCGAAGGTGGGAACTCTAGTTTCATTTTTCATTTTTAATTTTAATTTAATTTAATTTAATTTTATTTTATTGAAGGCAATATGGCCCAGCAGAGAGTGGCGATAAGACGTGACTTCGTATATCGGGGGGTCAGTGATGAGCTCAGGTAAGAGTGAAACTTAGCCAACTGTTTACTCTCCCTGTTCTGTGCTTTTCAGAAGGCTTGGACTAGAACAGTAAGGGGATTGTCTAAGCAATAGCAGTGTGAATATAAATTCTAAAAACTCCACAATCACTGGCAACTAATAAAAATTGACACGACGTTTTTTAACTACCTGAGTCAGGATATCTGCAAACGGATCAGCTGATCGATACAACCACAACAGTTAGAAAAAACACGTCACTCAAGAGACAGTGAGGCCACGCTAAAACTCTGGCTGTCTTGGCAACAAGAGAGCATTAAAGCAGACACGATCAGTGAGTACCCTGCGTACCCACAGTCACTCAGATCATTTCCCTCGGGAGTTTGTGCGCCACAATCAATTGGGGATACTGACCTGTCAACATTTTTCTTGGAGTTTATCATACGAAACTTGGAAGTTAGACAATGAATACAAAATTACAATCTGGGAAACAAAACATTTAATCTGAGAATCAACGTGATGTTCAACTGAAAAATAAATCAAAGTTTTGGTTGTTTATTCCACTTTTTCGCCAATCAACATAGCTGACCAAGCAACATCTGAGTGATCAGCTGATATCGGTTCTAGAGCGTAAAATGGAATTCCTCATATCCTTGAGGGAAGTGGATGGAATCGCAGTCATATGGATAAAAGTGGATCTGTTGAATATAGGTGGAGAAATTCGCTGGAAACTCCATCCGATCACCTGGTTTTGTAGATTAATGCTTGATTCAAAGAAAAGTCAGTGCACCATCTGATCGGGTAACAGAAGACAACACTGGACGAAAAAATTAGCCTATAGGAATGACGCACACTGACGTTTGTCTTTGTCCAGATATACCCCGGAAGATTGGGTACATAATATCGGAGAAGTCCTAAAGCTTTAAAGGGTAACCTCACCTAGATTGATCTGGCAACCATTGCCTGAACAAAAGAGAAGGCTTCACATTGTTTACTCAGGGCGGCAGCAGTTGGTTGTACTCTATCCAGGCAATCTAGGTTTACTGCTTCGGCCTCTGCGAGTACTTCAAATGTTTTCCGCTTTTGTGAATTCTGTCAACCAGAAAAAGCGAACAATAACAGAGTGGCAGAGTGAGCAGCGGACCAAGAGATGCATTTCCGACAATGAATCGGGTGGGGCTTTTACGATATGCTTCAGTGCATCTTGAGTATTGCGTATGCTGAAAACAGTCCAGAAAACCATGTTGTGACTATGTAATTATCCCCTTTGCGTCACAAAACTTTTCCACACTCTACGAAGGACAGACGGAAAAAGGGAGAAATGAATTGGGAAAGAAACCAACGATGGTCACAGAACGCTTGTGGACTGCGAACAGCTTCAAAGTCAGATATATCTGTCAATAATGGTGCACATTTTCGAATGTGAGTTAGAGTGGAAAAAACTTCACCGAAGACGTTATACCACAGGGACAATGATTGTCACTTTCCAAGCGCATAAATGTCCCATCAGTCTGTTAGGACAAGTAGGCTGCGGTTTTAAAAACCAGTGGCTGAAACTGTCGGAGAAAAATCAGAAACGCAGCACTGAAGATAGTTCCTGCGAGGCTTAGTGACAAAACGGGTGCTACATTTTTTCATTAAGGAAACTACTCACAAGAACGAATTATTTTCAAGAGGAACCCATTAGGTTGAGAAGAGATTTTCTCTACAGATGACGCATTCTCTGCAGCCTAATGGTTGCACTTCATTTGTTGACGAACTGTCTTATTACCCAATTCTGAAGACTTCTTAAAACACTAATCAATTTAGAACGTCTCTTTCTTCAGCGACTGTTGACTACGATCGTGTGGCAGTGCTCACTGAAGCAACATGTGAGTTGTTCCTTCCCTTCCTAAAACACAGTAATCAATTAAGAACGCCTCTTTCTTCAGCGACTGTTGCCTATGATCGTATGGCAGTGCCCACTGAAGCAACATGTGAGTTGTTCCTTCAACTGATATACGTCCAACTCACTAGTGCGATCTAGTGTACTTTTTCTTCTTCAGTTGCTTGTGAACAGAATGGGCGTGCAAAACATGTTCTTTGCAGAGATTGATTCGTTGACGGACAATGGGATTTCAAAGGAAAAGAATCGCTATGCATTCAGAAGCAAACCGCAGTATTGATCTGAATCGCTGAGGACAGTACTAGATGATGGACGCCAGTTTTTAGCACGAAACTGAAGTTTTGAAATATAGAGACGAAAGTTAGCGCTTCCTGATGGCAGAGATAAGCATTGTGAGGGCTGAAATTTCAGGACGTAGACTTAGCCAGGACCCATTAAACCTAAGCTGGAGGTGGCGCCCGCAGATATTCAGCACAGTTTACACCGCATTCCTGTTAGGCTTCGTTTTTCAAGTCGATATTTCGGGTGAATAAATTGTACTTCAAATCCAATTAATCAAATATGGCCCCAAAAAGTGTGGGCTGAGCAGTGAGATTTAAAAGAGTTCGGATATAGCTCAAAGACGATTTTTTGGGGTGCGCAATGTCTCCCGTACCAACTCGACGGAACGCATTCGGTGGTGTGGTTAAGTAAATTGGATGGCTGCTGGTCCACCGTATACACACGTATATACACACGTGTATACACGTATACACACAAGTATGCACACGTGAAAAGTGTGCTGTGTTGAATTTTGCGTGATTTTGGTACGTGTCACTCGCAATTTTGGTCGACATCAATTGGTCAAAATCTACCAAACAGAAGGCAGCGGGTTGAAACTCCCCCATGGGCGATCCGGGAGATTCGCGAGGTGCGTGAGATGTCTCTCTGATTTGTGGTTTATATTGGCTTTGTTCATAGGAAGAAATCTCAACTGATCTGTTGACTGCACACATAGAGCATCACCAAATGTTTTATTAAATCTAGCTCCAAAGCGCAGCAAAAAACGCTCATAATGCGGTTTAGTGACCCCAGACTCTTCAGTGGCAATAAATTCTGTTGTCTGTGAAAGGCCACAATGGCCATAGGCCTCGAAACTGATGGGAAGGACTGAAACAGAATCCTGAGTATGCGTAAACGAGAAACCAAGTTAGGAGATCCTAATATCCCATGAAAACTTTTCGGTGTATCAACCTGACTGGCTCATTCGGAAGAAGAGTTCCCAACACGTGAGCGAAATTAATCCCACAATTGATTCAGAACGTAAGTGGATAAATCGCAACAACGTTGGAAAATGTATCTTGTGTGTCCGGAAAGGACTCATTCCATAGCGAAACTCGGTTATCTAAAGATCAGTCAATTAGGGACAGGCGTGCGCGTTACATGGTAAGGCTACCACTTGGCGAGATGGCTCAGTGGTTAGAGAGCGAGATCACTGACCGAAAAGTCTATGGTTCAAACCCGACTTTTGCCTCTCGATTTCCCCTGTCTAGGCTTGGACAACATGGCAGAGTCCCAGCAATCGTGGTTCTTTTTGGTGGCATGGCATTTAGCTACCAAAAGGGTGATACAGCTGAATGATTTTTTTTTACCATTTGGCCCAAAGTTTTTCCGCACACTGCCCGAAGTTCCCAAACTTTAGTTCATCCAAATTAATGCTGTAGGTCTGATGCAGAGGTAAGAACCAGTGGCAGATACTTTCATTACCAAAATGCGATGTGACGTCGGGGGTAATGCTGAGCATGCGTACATAAGAGATCCGTACACCAAGCCAAATCGTCAACCAATTCCAAGTATCTAAAATTTGAAGAGTGGGGCTACCCATAGTTCACCAGACATCCAGAAATGTATTTTACCACTACTGTACCTTTGCTGTCTAGTTGGGCTGGCCAAATATATTTTTAAAGAGTTACATCGAAGATTTGCTAAGGGATACGCATGTTTTAAAAACATAAAGCGGTATACCTGATTTGATTCCTCCGATTTATCTTGATGACGCTAACAAGTCATTAATTGTGCGATTAATGAAAATGATGCGAAAACGCCTTGATTTACTCACTTCATTGGTATCGATACCTCGATTTATGGCCCACATAGTTTGGAAAAAATCTTCCATTCTGTGTTTCAAAGGCTTTGGGATACGATGCACCCGGACGAAGTCTTTCAGATCTTGCGTTCTGGACTGGAAAGCGGTTCGCCGGGCGTAAATCCTTTGGATGATTGCGGTCACATTTCCAAACACCGCTGCATGCATCAAAGCTGTGAACAGAAGGTCAGGCCCAAAGAGGATAAAATCTACTTCCTGCGACAAATAAATAGGCGCATTTGGGAAGCTCGTGTGATCTTCCAGAACACATCCAAACAAAGCGAGATACCTACATCTGGGAAGCGAAATCTGGAGTCCATGGTCATCCGGGTCACTCCGCATGACAGCTTTGTGAGTCCAAATTGTAACTTTTACCTCATAGTCTGTGTGACAGTATACCAGATAGATGATATATAAAGCAAACGCATGAACAACCGTGAAAAACTGTTTCCAAATCCCACTTGAGGGACGATACCAGCTAAGCTGATATTTCTGACTTCCCCTGTTAGTCCAATACTGAACTTAGTTGATGAAGTCTAAGTAACACGTGGGGGTCTTGTATGCATAAGTTCTCTTAATGAGCACTCGTTAGCCAAATCTTTTGAAGCCTTGGACCACGTTCTCAAGGTATACTGCTAGTACACTCAATGAGCGCCAGCAGCAAGTCGAACATAGCCTCCATGCTCTGTAATGCAGCTTGCAGGCGGCAGTGAAACCGTAAAGTGGGGATCAGTTCTTCATATGGGGACTCCGCATTAGACTGACTTTGATTAAAGGATATGATTTGCTTTTGTTGGTACACTTTGTTATTGGCAGCACAAACGCTCAAAGTGTCTGTGTCGTAAGTTTGCAGGAAGCTTTCCTTAACTGGTTAGCTGGCATGATGCTGAAAACATACAAGTCAATTCTGTGTGGGTGCAAAGACTGACTTTGATTAAAGGATATGATTTGCTTTTGTTGGTACACTTTGTTATTGGCAGCACAAACGCTCAAAGTGTCTGTGTCGTAAGTTTGCAGGAAGCTTTCCTTAACTAGTTAGCTGGCATGATGCATGTACAAATCACCTTGATTCCCAGATGAGCTGGAATATTCAAAGCGCATGTGAGAACACGCCTTTGTAAGCCATTGGAAAATGATTTTTGGGTTAGCTGAACCCCTGCTCAAGAAGACTGATTGAAACGGGCTGAAGTAGATCCTGATTTTTAGTTTTGTCAGCCAAACTTGTTTTAGTACTTGTTTACTTGGAGGTTTTCCTGCGCTGGTTGGATCATGAAACAGTCCTCTTACAGCCTTCACACCCAACTCAAAGACGTGACAGATGATGAGGAGTTGTACTTGTTTCGGGTGTCATTTCTAGAGGAGAGTTGCTCGACGTCCGTCGGTTTGTTCACCGCATTGTCTGTGATTCGTACGGAGAATCGAAACAGGAGGCTGGCATCGAAGAAGACTAGTGTTTCCATCGGCTAGCTAAGTGACCTTAAGAGACAGCTCTATTTAGAATTTTTGTGGGTGCTGTTTGCCACACATCGCCATTTGATTAATTAAGCTGTTGATGTATATTGGATTTGGCTTGTTTAGCTGTCATGGAGACCATGTTCATTTAAGGAATGTATGTTCACAAACGTGGTGAACCCTTCATCACTGACTACTAGGCGATTGCTGGCTGTTTATACGCCATTAAAGCTTGTTAAGAAACGCGTAACTGGAAGCAATTTGCAGTGCCAGGCAAAATGTTTTGTTGCTTCTGTTTTACCAAGGATCACTTCTCCTGTCAGTGTATCTTTGGCCAAAAACACCAATTAGGTATACCGTTTTCCTCATAGATCGTCTTCCATGATTGCCTTTAACGAGCATAGCATTTTAGAGCAATCGTAATGCAAATGGTTCGGTCGTGACACCATATTTAGCTGACAAATTCCCACTGCGCTTTCAGTTAATCTGTTTACTGATATGACGAATGGTTGGATCATCTCCCGTGTGTTGCGCTAATTCCTCAACCAATCTCTAGCCATAACCATCTAACCTGACGTACTGAGGATGGACCTACCTGAGTGTAGTCTTTTGAGTCGATGGAATGTGCAACTAATGAACAGCTAAAATGGACTTACCTCCAAGTAACATGATGCATATTGCAAAGATTTTCTCACCAACCGTATTGGCGGAAACGTTACCGAATCCAACAGATGTAAGGCTGCTGCAAGTGAAATAGAGTGCTGTGAAATATTTTGTTTTATCGTCCAACGGATCCGTCGTGTTTAACCGTCGGGCTAGTTCACCGATCCATCCTGTGGAGGAAGAGAGATTAATGAGTAGCTGGAGGCAAATTTGGTCAACCTCGAGACACTACTCGTAAGAAAATAAGTAGATTTTGTCGCGGAAAAAGCTTAAATTATCTCAAAATTAGTCCTTTAGGGAACCTTTTACTTTTCTGATGAGGAATCATTTCTTTTACGTACTATTAAATTTTTAAGTGGGAAATGCTCAAGCATTTCGTACTGTGAACTTCTTTCGAAGGGAGAAAAACTGCATGACCATGCATTGCCTGTGATGCTACATAAACGTTTTGTATAAAGCATAAACAATGAAGAAAACAGTGCCAAGTTTTTAGCTAAAGGTATGAAAAATGCAGTGATGGTTTTGGACACAGCCGGGCCGAAAACGTTTAACTCCAGTGGTTAACTACCGACACAATTGTTAAACACGACCAACATGACTTTCAAGAATAAGGAATGGAAGTAAACTGAGCGGTTATCTATAGGTCCAAACTAGACACTAAATAGATCAACAGCTGCCACACTAATTGATTCTGCTAGTTGCATAAGACTTCACGCTGTTCGCTGAGAGAGAGACCTACGGTGTCCTTCTCGTTGCACCTGACCATCCTGTCCATTATCGATTACATTCTGTAAGACGCCGAGCCCTGGTCCAAATTAAGTGACCAGAGTAAACAAAAGGCCGGTTTATACAAATACTATCCAATATTTGATGCCTACAGATCACTCCTAGGATTGTAATAGGATGAGTTGTATGTATGTTGACAATGCACAAAAAAGTGGGTTTTTGAGAGTATCACCGGAAACATGAGAGTTATTTGGTTATTTTTTGGTTCCTATCCTGGTCCAAATTAAGTGACCAGAGTAAACACAAGGCCGGTTTATACAAATACTATCCAATATTTGATGCCTACAGATCACTCCTAGGATTGTAACAGGGTGAGTTTTAATAATAAACAACGGAGCGAATAACGGTCTTTCTAATAATAATCCTTTTATGATTTCCAAAACGATCTTTCGCATTGGAGTGTGTTTCATTAATACAATTTTTGCCGGCGGATTATTAACACCATATGTTGTCAGACGGTTTATGCTTTATCTTGGCGTATACTGGTTAAGTCTTTGATATGGGTATGTACTGTGCCATGTCTCCGCGTGGGGCAACCAGGGTTGTCTTGCATAATGGACGTTTCCAGTCGCTTTCCCATTCCTTCAGACACTGGAAAGAATGAATGTGGTCCGAAAAACCTTATATCCAACGTAAATCGCTTTGTCTCTCAGTGATAATCAATATTGAAAAATTCCATACGCGATAAGTCATAAAATCTCTATCTTGGATTCAGCATATTATTGCAGTAAACTTGAATTGTATGTCGACAATGTACAAAAAAGTGGGTTTTTGAGAGTATCACCGGAAACATGAGAGTTATTTGGTTATTTTTTGGTTCCTATCAGGGTTTTAGGGAGACAGTGTCAAATTAACCGATTGTTTTGCCCTAGATATGACGAGCCATTCGGCGAATTCAAATGTGTCGTCCAAAGTAATTGTAGGGGGCTGACTGTGGTTAGGATCGAGAATCCCCGTCAGCCAAGGAAACTCTGCGTGGTACGAGAAATTTGTCTTGGTTAGCATGGTCATTTACGAAGAACCAATTTTGTGAGAGAAGATTAGAGACATACACATCCTTGTGTAGTCGAGACGTCCATGGACAGCAGTTGTGATAGACTTTTATGGTTTGCTTATAAAATGGAAGGGGCATCAGGATACTCTATTGTATATATTTTTTAATTATACACCCTTTTCTAGTTGGAAACTGTCATTGCTCAGTATAGACATTTAGAAAAGTAACAACCTTACTTTCTTGGAGCCTTGTTGCAACTGGAAAAAAGTTTTGCAGTTTATTGGGATGGAGCATTCGATGGAATTGTTCATCACTTGTCCTTAAGAGGTTTTTGCAGCTTCTTAGGACCTATTTATTGCTAGCGGTTCCTCGAACACGTTGGATGCGGTGCACTCATCTAATGTTGATTCATACAGCAGCTGAGAGCTTTGTTATAGTGTATGTATATAGCCATTGTCCATTAGTAGGAACCGGTTGATGTCATGTATTCAACATTTTAACCCGAATTGAAAACCACTTACCGGCCTCAGAACTGCCTTCTTTCACACCAACCACATGCCAAATGCAAGCGAACCAATGAGCGACCAGAGTGAAGATGAACATGAGTAGTCCAAGCACCACTAAACTGTGCTGTGAGAGGCGAGAGAAGTTCTCACACAGCCTGGCCAATCGGAGAAGCCGTGCCAATTTCATCATTTGTAACAACGAGATCGACTGAAAGCAAAACATAAACCATTATGTTAGGTTGATGAACCGCGAAAATAACTCCCTGATGTGAGCGCAAACAAACATAGGGTTGAAGACGTCAACTGAAAGCTTCACAGGTTGTCACTGCCCCATGATCCATTTATCACGTATCCACAACTACACCATTTATCATGATAGCCATTTTCCCTTTTTTCTTCGCTTTGAAGTTTCCCCCGAAATCGTACTTTTAAGGGCAACTGTAGGAATATTTCCGAGCTGATGAACATTAGGTGAAAGTTAGGAGACCACTTGCGGTTATAGACTGTAACTAAGGATATTATTGAGAGGTTGGATCAATGAAAATACCTTGGAGGTTAATCGCCCTTATCACACAATGCCGATCTAGTCAATCTGGCTCAGAGCACAGCCGCTGGAATGCTTACAGCTTAGCATCAAACTAATTCGAAAGAAATGTAATCTTTGTCTGCGCATACGTTTTCCACCCACTCACATCGTTTCCTCGAGATATGAGGACCCATGTTCTTACATCAGTCTTTGATCAATAGATGGACTTCAAATTCATTTCAACAATACACAGTGGTTTGGCTTGGCCAACACTCGCTCAAAAAAGGTAGTGCCGGATGAATCAAATCTGAAGGTTTCATTACTTTTCGGCGATTCACAAACAAGGCTGTTTCGAGTCCATGATGACCACGGAAAATAGTGCGCGACATTTTGAACAGAAGAACCGCGTGCATCAACAGATTCTGTTCAGAAGTGGTTAACTATGTGTTTCTGGAATGTGCAAACCGATTAGTAGCAATACGCTTTATTTGTCTATCAAGTGATCATGGATACAAACAGTTGGTTTGCTCTAAATCAGGTTTTTCGGTAACAGGGTTAAAAGAGGATCATGGACGACTTATTGAGGTGGACAGACTTATGGATTTACAGTTATTAGATTCACTGGTTCAAGGCCTGTCTCAGAGGGGTTGGTCTTTCTCAACTACAAATATCCACCTGGCAAAAATGGCAAGCAAAAAACTTGCTTTTCAAGAGAGATCTATTTCAGTGAGCTTCAACAGAGCACCAACTGCCTAAGATAACAGTTAGGTTTTGCGTCCTGTCAGAAACCAGCTTGCGGAACCTACTAAATAGACAATGTTTCTTTCTCAAGGGCTGAGATCTTTATGAAAAATCCGACGGATTTACCGAGAGTTCGCGGACAATATACATGAGATTCAGAGACCACGACCTGAGCATCGTTTTTTTGCCAGAGACTTCCTGATTGAAAGGAAGGATGACAAAAAACGGTAACTACAAAAATATTCACCCTTTTCCAGGCTTTGGATAGTCCATCCTCATCTTCTTGCGCAAACATTCTAATGTGAGTAACATTTTGGCCAAGGAGAGCTGCTCCACTTGTGGTATTTAGGGCGCTAGCTGTCCGTTTTGCAGACAAGACCCAGTCCAGAGTAAATAGAAGAAAGTCAACTGGTAGAGCTGCCAGTCCGTCCAATAGAAACCATCCGCGAAGGTAGTGTTTTGCCAGTTGCCGACGATTGTAAACAAGCTGCCCGTTCTTATTCACATAGGTCGTGTTGAAGTTTAAAATTACATCTATAATAAATGGAAACGTTACAATGGCTTGTTAATTCCGGTCTCCGAGGAAGAACAAATTCGTCGATGTTTTACCGTGGTGACGCATGTGATGGAGCTTTCAATAGAATTCATTCACCAAATGTGCATCATTAGGACAGGTTTCATTTGCGACCACTGGGTGCAAAAGCACGGTTCTTAGCTGCTACGTGAAGAAGAGGGTGATGAATGATTCCATCATTATAGAGGCAAAACGCTTAGAAAATGGAGAAATTGGTGAATAATCTTGAGGTTCTTCTGTCGTTATAAATTCAAGGCAATTATGCTACTCAGTGGTACCGGACGTGTCTGTCTGTTATGTATTTGTGAATCCTTGCCAGAATGCAATGCAATCAGATTTTAATGACAAGGTTAGTTGTTTTACGTTTGAGGGGTCAAACTTTTGAAGGTAAAAGGAGAGCTTGACGCGTTTCATCTTCTATGTGAAGTCAGTTTTGTTTCTATCTGAAGTACTTGAACAAGTGCCGAAAGGTGTAGGCACCTCGGAACGATTGCAGTGGGTTGTCATCAGGTCATCTCCTCACCCATTTTCATTCTATATTTAACAACAAGGCTTTAAAATAAACTGTGTTTATGGCAGCGAGGCGTGTTGTAACGATAACGATGATGTGACACTATCCGGAAGGACTGGTTGTGGAAGATTCCAGAACATTTGTGAGATGCACACCGTCAAGGCTTTGTAACAATATAGCAGGAGCCGCGCACGAATTCTGGGCCTTTTGGCGTCGACGGGCTTAAGTTACACGACAACACCTCCATTACAATCATTGAAGATATGTGCATTCTCACCGTCCACGGTAGAATTACCAACACTCATTCCATTGCGGGGGGCAGCTTCAGTATCCAGAAGTTTTAACAACCTTTGATCAAAATACAACACTCTGCATGTTTAACTTTCAAAAGGAACACAATTCATCATATTCCATGCTTAGACCTTATCTGAATCAGCACTATTCTGTGCCCTCAGAATAGCTTGTTTCACTGACAATAGGTTAATTTACGTAAAAATCAGCAAGAGACCAAAACACTTATTACCGATGATTATTAGAGTACTTAATCTGAAAGGCAAGTGACAACAAACCTGGAACGAAACCTGGAAGCCATTCTTCCGTTGCATTTGTTTGTGCCTTAAATGATTTGTCTTATGCAGAAAGGTCAAGTCAGTCAGCATAGAAGTCGACGAAAGGAAAATCTCATCGTTTTCCTGTCATCCATCATCTGGTTTTATTTCTAATGACTAATAACCGCCTGATTTACATATTACCTGTAAAAAATAACGTTGTAAACTCTCGGCTCAGATGTTGTGTCCCTCAAGATAAACAATATATCTAATGAGTAGGCACTTTTAGCCGATGTCGAAAGCTGTTTTATAATCAGGGGGTATCTTTTTGTTAAACCATCGGTCATCACATGTACTGTGCCAATCTCTAGGGTTAAAACAGGTCACACAGCTGTCCGGGAGCGCACTGTTCGTGGGCCACCCATGACCCGAAGACTAATCTGAGTGGCCCCGGTTGTTCACGAGATGTAAACCACGAATGTTTCTAACGAGAATAATGCAGCTTTCGCATGCAATAACTAGACTTACGGGATGAAAATTGAATTAGAAATATCAAATCTTTCCACTGCCTCTAAATGGAAATAAAACATTCTTATCGAAGTTCACAGTAATGGGCACAAAGTGGTTTGTACACTAGAAAAATTGGCAATTATGCAAATCGCAGCCATTCGATTAGCTGCTTCAATCGACGAAGACCACAATCCCTTACCAATGACCATCATTACTTCGACTATTAAATCGACAACTTGTTTCCGAACATCAATCCGTCCGTCGAGTCGACCAAATGTGACGTTGTACGGAACCATGAAAGCGATGTAGAAAGTGAACAGCAGCAATATCCAATCCCACACAATACGGAACAGCCCATAATGTAAGAGTACTGAGTTCGGTTTGGTGAACTGTTGCATCTTGTATTCCGGAACGCTCTTTCCACTGAAGTTTTTTATTTGCTAATTGGGGAAAGGGAAAGAAAAGAACGGTATGATTTATACACAGTTAACATATGATAAATGATACATACATGGATACTTAGACAAAGCTTTTGTGTGCTAAAATACGACTCTTCAGTATCTGGTCCCCTGTGCTCGCATTCCTTCGAGCAGATAAAATTGGGAGGACTTGGGACATGTTTTGCCAATCTCGAAGTCCATACTTTCTGTGCCAAACTACCATCAAAATTAAACCTATTATTAGAATGCATTTGGCTGGTAAAGCTCAGCCATAAATGCAGTGTCCAATGATTGCAACTGGAACGGTCGTTGGATCGACCGGACAAAAGAGTACCACCCCAAACCATTTGATAAGGGATCCAGTAGCGTAACGGTGCATCTCATAAAAAGCGACGGTCCCAGGCCTGCAGTGATGAGGCTTCTTCGCACCACCGGCCGTATGGAAGTGCCTCTGCAACGTTGCATTGATTTCTTGACCGATGAGTACATTTAGAATCGTATTCATGAAGGATTTCATCCCACCTGGTGGTGTCTCTGCGCCTTTAAAATGTTGCCACAAACGACGAGACTGGTAGTCTGTCCGGATGATCAAACCATATCCAAGTAAGCTGCTTCTAGGAGACTTCAGGGTCGGGTCATAATTTTTTTTAAATTTTGACTCCTGTAGATGATCATACGTTTCCTGCCTGCTCTCCTTTTTAGTAGACATGAACGATTGCAATATCACTGTTCTCGGTGTTTGGTTTAGACTAACGTTTCATGAGTGCTAGAATCGATGGAGAGCAGAACGTTTGTTTTCATGCTTAAAAACTTGCCAAAATTATTTGGTCCAACCGGAGGGTTTGTCTTCTGGATCAGACTTTAAGGTAGTGCCGCTAGGTAATCAAAATCCTTTATAAGCCTTCGGTTACAGCAGACAAGTTCTCTGGAACTGCGGACCTCATATGGTTTCTGTGATCTTGACCACGTCGCAACCTGATTGGTTTGTTCAGATGCACATGCATGCTTTTTGATGAGATCAAGCCTTCTACATAATCAACCTCATGGCTCAAAGAGTGACACTTGGAGGATTCTTGGTTATGTCCTACATCCACGAGCCCTTCAATTACCTCCTCTAGTTTTATGGGTTGCTTGCGGGTTGAACTGCCGCGGGCAATGAGTCTAACTAAGTTTACCCGGCAATTTGGGAGCCAGGTCTGGTAATGAACTCTGAACAAGGAATATCTCTTGGGCGTTTGACAACCCAACTGGCCTCATCAAAAACTTGTATAACCGCAAACGTAAAACACGGATTCCAGATCCCGGGTGTAGAAGTGTTTAGCTTCGTACAGCACGTCAGATACTTCACTGACTCGTTAGAACAGAGACATTTCACATCACGACACCTGTTTCAACATGTGGATACAAACACAGGGTCGGAACTTTCCGATTCACCACGGGCAACCACGAGGGACTTCTCATTATTTGTTATCATTTTCTCAGGCAATTTCATGACCTCTGCTACTAAGGATGTCGGAATTTTGATGTGGGATATGTCGTCATTATCTACCTCGTGATTCAGCAGCCTGCTTTTTCTTGGCTTTTTCCGTCCATGTGAACGCGCAAAGGCGTTGGAAGTCCCTGTTGCTGTCCTTATAGATGCGTCAAGGCCGTTTACTTCTCAGTCTGCGATTTAATTTGGGATGATGGAGGTTGCAGCAGATTCCTGCGGGCAGAAATTTCGATTGCTGCTTGTTAGTATCTTCCGTAATGTTTGTTGATCGTAAGATTTTGACATCAAACTGGAAATCTAGTCAGCACTTGTGAGTGTCGATGGCCGAAGTTACTGTGGTGAATTCATCCATTATTCTAGCTTTCATACTCTCTTTTTGATGAGAAAACGGGACATTATTTACACTACTCAGTCCCCTAAATAGTTTGATGGGCCAAGTTGTGTAGTGGTGATCTCCATCTGATTTAGACCTTATGAAGCAAATCCGCATTGAACGTGCTTTTGAGGCCAAACAGCCAAAGCCCCTAAACTCAACTAGTGTGTGTTGACATAATAATATTCATTAACGGCGGGTGGATCCACTTCGATGACACAGAATCTGCCCACCATTTTCAGGGTCTGCCGGGTGGACCTTGTCATTTCACGGAATGGGTGTGGTGGAGTTTAAGTCATACTCCCACCGCAGGATTTGTAACATTATAACGAAGCGTGATTACTAGAGATATTGATACAAGATAACCCAGAATCAACATCAGAACCTCCAGAAGAGAGGTCACAATGCGGTGGTCCCATAACGTCCAACCCGGATTTTGTCCATTGAGCTGGGCGATCGATATAGGCTACCACGAACAGACATTTGACAACTGCACCGTGAAATCCTAAGGACTGTCGAAAAGATAACTAAATTGTGCTTGAACTAGCTTGGTTGTTGGTATTTTTACCATAAAATACTCAATAAGCATCGTAATCAGTTTCTCAGGAGACAGTTCACACCGTAGTCGACCTGTTTATCACTTCTGTTACCTTAATATTAGTTCCTCAACTTTGTGGGGCATCTTTCATAAGAATGAGGCGAAAAATTTCCATTTAGGTAGTCGATCACGTGATTCCTGATTCCTAGTTATCATAAACAAAAACAAGAAACTGTAGTTGCATTTTGTGCCATATAAATAGTTTACAGAAGAATGATCTGTTCAACTATAGTATAAGATGTTTTTGACTTGGTGCACATATAAATCCTCTCCCTGTCAACTGATGTTCTTGTCATTTGGTTAACACCAGGCATAAGAATTTTTATCCTAATGTCCTTCCTTGCCGAATATTTTATACCGTACCGGGTGCAGTTTTACCATACAATTACCCTACCCCACATCCTTGCTCGACCCCACAGTGTGGAGTGTTCGAATACTGAGTTTACATACTAAGACTCTGTTGTCTAGTTTGAAATTCGAAGCAAGGTCGTGACGCTTGTGGATACATCCGTCAACATATCACCAAAACATACGGTTGGTTTCCCGATCCCAAGTGTGGGAATACCAGTCTGTGTTGGTTAGGGGGGAGTCGTCGTGTTAGTGCGAGCCATGGGTTGGAATTTAGTCCTCAAGATTAGAATCGTCTTGGAGGTGCGTCATAACATGCCCTTTACTGAAAACAATGGATGCGTCAAGAAGCAGTTTTTTGTAGCAGAGTAACCTTCCACGCATTTTGGTCTGGCTGGGAGTCATCGGTTGGTAGCTTGACTTTGAGGTTCTCAGTTGCCATTCTTTGTCGAAATGTTCATAAGTGATGATTATTAACTTCTTTCCTATGTCTTTCAATGCTCAATTTTGAAGAAAGTACCTTAAACGTGACAGATAAAGGTTTTTGATTAGGCTGCATATCATGAGACATGTCTTATTACTGTCGATCAGTAAATGCTCGGCAACTGACGCAGCACTCTAAGCATTCGGCGGGTGCTCATTGTTCACCCTTACTGTCGCAGTCAAGCAATAAAGGTGAATACCTTGCTGCTAAAAGAGGAACGCATGATAACTATATATCCCACTCCAGTCTTTGAACCACACCCACATTCGGTGAAGTTAGCCGCAGTTTGCACCTTTCGGTTTGCTCGCCATACTAGAACAGATCATTAAATAACGGGCTTTCAAGGTTTTCAGTCTACTTAATGGTATTGTCATATTCTGGATATGACGGATTACACTGATACTTTTCTTGGAAAGTACTGTCAATGAGCAGCATAGCTTAGCTTACTTGATTAATTTTCCCTGCATTGTTTCTTTTTTCTTTCTTTGTCGGAATGCTGTGCAGGAAAGCCATCGTCCTCCGACGTTTATAATTGTATCTAGATGGATCTGGTGAATCAGAGTCGGCGTCATTCATGAGCTGTGCAGAATGCAGCCGCACCCGTGATTTCCAGCTGGGACCCTTCTGCTTGCATCCACTGTCGTCCGCGGATCCACTGGAATGTTCTTGACCTGATTCTAGCAGGTTTAGGTCACTGTTGTTCAGTTCTTCATTTGAAGCCATATCAGAATGCATCATTCTGTCTACGTCACTGACAGAGCACAATAAGTTTGAAGATTTACTGAAATCTAGGGGGATCTGGAGAAAAGAAAAAGATGTGCGTTTATAAATTGATGGAACAACCATGCAAAATTAGTTTATGGATTAGGAAGAAACATTTCCGCTGGGTGGTTCATTGCCTTCTCACGGAAATAGGTCTACTACTCAGCAGATGTCAGAAATAAATGAACACTATAATCATGGTGTAAAGAATTGTTGACAACTTGGGGAAATGAAAAACAAAGATCAAGGGGAACTGTTCCATAAAGTATAATAAAATATGGCTTCATGGTAACGTCCCAACAAAGTTACCTTTGTCTAAAATCGGTCGCGCGGAACGATTGTTCAAAACCCTCACACAGCACACAAACGGTTTCATACAGTCTCCGGAATATGTTGAATAATCAGTTACTGACCCGAGCAGCAAAGTTTTTGAAGGTCCTTGTTTGAGCTGTCAACATTGACTGATGTTGCAGTTACTAGGACCAGATTCCATGGAGTCTCTAGTATATATTATCAAACAGGTTGAGAAGTATGAAAAGCAACAAATTTCGCCTCACTCGCACCCAGGTACCAAATTAATTCGTGAATGAATGCTTATCAAAACATACATCTAACTAGAGGCTCGAATACAAAATGAGATCGATGAAAAGTCATAGACTGAGCCTCACTGTTGCCTCTACGGAGGACCTAGTGTGTTAACTGACCTACAGTACAGTGTTACATGAACGGATCATATTCATTCAATTTCGCATTTTTTACATAAACCCATTGTGCTACTGAGGCATAAACGAACTCCGATTCGTACTTTATTAAACACGGAGAGGCAAACTGACTCTGCGGATACACTGGACTCTGAACTGAAGAACATCGTGACGTGCTCCAAACTAATGGCTGTTCAGGGGAATTTATAGCCAAGAATATGTACGAACATCCTATCCTGCTATCCATCACGACTGATGTAAAGAAGCCACTCTTTACTCTGTAAAGTCAATCTGTTTACGGGCAGTCAATCACCTCCGCCCCTTTCACTCCGTACAACGCGCGCTTCTGACCGCAAATCTGTGGTCCTGTATGAAAAAACTATAGCAGGGTTAATAAGTACTACGGAATAGTGCATTTCTTAAATTTCTAGGCCATTTCGTAACTAGTGCGCGGTTGGTAAGCAATATGAAAAAAAGCCACTTAGGTAGGATATAGTATAATGGTTAAATGTGAGCTGGAATTTTACCGGTTCAGAGCTCAGCACTGGTTTTCGATACACACATTATCGCTGTGACTCCACAAGGACAAAGTTTTCTCAGCATTCCTACGATGGTTGACATTAGCTGTCTACTCTGACCGTGAGTAATGTGCATAGGAAAGTAAACTGTTCGTTTCCGAGCTGACTTCTACTTATACATGGCCATTTATTTCGTAAATCAACTTCAGTACAGATCTCCTTGTCGTTGCCACGAACGGATTATCTCACTCTGAGAAAATGTTTACTTGTGGCCACCTTCAGATGGTCCACAGAAGTACATCCTTCTTGCACAAAACACACCGTGTGTTCATTTAATTTGATTTTTCTTAAGATGGATGGTTGAGACCGAATGTCGTAATTTTATCTCCTTACTAAATACCAAAATTTGCAATCGATTCTGAAAATCCTGTTCGAAAGATGTAATGAGATGCGTCAGATATCTAAATGCATGACAGTTGTCCAGCTTCACGTGAAAAACCACCGAACCACTGGTCATTTGCCTGTGAACTGAAGTCTTAATCATAATTAATTGAATCAAGTTTCGGCTGGAGGACGATAAGACAAAAGAGCCACAAAGCTTAAGCTCAGTTAACGTAAACCTCGTATACTCTAAGCAGCACACACCGAACGAACCCAACCGTATTCTTGCTATTGTTCGTTTCACGAGAGTCAGGAATAACCAAACCAGTGAATTCATTTTGGGCGCTTTTTCCCACGGAGACTTGGAGTAAATAAAGGCCGAATCAGCATTGTGCCATATCGTAAAATGTAGGCTTGCTATTTTGGGGACCAACAGCGACATTCAAGATGGGTAAACAGTTTGATGGGCAAACAAAACCTGAGCCCTTTCTAGATACATTGTCTTTCTAGTCTCACAAAATTGAGCAAACAAGTAGTGCGTCGGATAACCCACAGGGTGGATTGTTAGCTCGGCTCCGGTTTGATTTGAGACGAGCCCAACCGTCAGCTGATCGAATAACAATTTCATGAGACCGGGCCATCGTCACAGCGACCTGTATGTCTGAAGAGTTTCAAATAAAAAAGTTTGCAAGGCGCAAGCATTTTGCCGACTACTACTCGATAAGGCATTCTCAGAATTGGAAATTTTTGGGAAATTTTGAGTAAACGGGGTTTTGTCACATGATTAGAATTTTCAGGTTGTTATAACAAGTTTGACTGTCATTAAGTTTTGTGATATGATGGTAAAGCGAAAAATAAGGATCATATAACAATTTGACACCCAGTGCTCCTAAAGAAACGAGAAGGTTGAGTAGCTGCGTTTGTTTCTTTCAGAGTTTTTTTTACTCATTATAGAATTAATGAATGACTTATTACTATGCTCGTGGTGGGGTGCAATTGGGTGCATTGGATGAACCAATGTCACTAAATCCAGTTGGAACTGTATCGCGACCACTGTAGAAACTAAAATATCTTGCACCTAGTACCTGATTCAGTAATCTGACAGAGCATATCAATACTGCTGATGAACATCTAAATTATAATTTTAGCCTCACAGCTGAATTTATCACTTTGTAGAAACTAAAATATCTTGCACCTAGTACTTGATTCAGTAATCTGACAGAACATATCAATATTGCTGATGGACATCTAAATTATCATTTTAGCCTCAAAGCTGAGTTTATCACTTCGTGCTTGATGGCCAACCTGGTTGCTTACCTATTATCTTATGTTTTTTAAACACCAACAAGTCCCGAAAGAAGTATGCCTCCGGTCATTATAAATCAGATATGTGCATGAGTGATCCAGAGTCTGAACAAATAAAGGATGGTTTCCTGTTTGGACTTTACCATACTGAACTCAAAGCTTTCAAAATAGATAGAAATAGAGTTCAGTGGGCTGCAACTGTCAGGTGAGTTTCTAAAGGGTCCCCACATTTACCACTAAATGGCGACGGCCTTTCGTCTCGCGTTATCTGTATTAGTTTACTTTTTGAATGTTGGAAAGGCTTCCTTCTTTCCGATGTTTATATTTCATTTGAACTAATTGAGAAAGGCCTGTCCGTCATGTGATTTACGCATGGTTGGATGCTTCAGACTTATGTACAAATTGGAGCGATGCAGGCATGACGAAAACAACTCAAATTTGCGCTGTGACTAACGAGCAGTTTCCATCGTAACAACATCAGAAGAATATTTTGTGCAGTCACGTCGACAGGTTTTTGGACGCTTTGTTTGTACTTCAAGATATGGGAATTTTCAATGACGATTTCGTCCTCAAGTGGAAACCATTGTTTGCTACAAGCCGATAGTAATTGTACAGCTGTTTCATCCCTATTCAAAGTTACCAAGAGTTCGCTTCATGGGACTCCAGGTAGTTTCGTCCCGGCAAATATCCAGTCAGTGGTTGAGCGCGAAACTGCTCAGTCACGAACAGCTGACTCACTCCTCAGTCACGTGATCCACATCAAGTGGTCAACTTCTGACTGGCTCCTCGGGTGGCTACTTCTCAAATGAAAGTTCCACTCGTCGTCTGAAGGCGTGCCGCTAAGGATGAAACAGCTAGAGGTTAGCTTCGTATACAGAACGAAATCTACATCAACAATTTATGGGACAGCCTACTAGGTAGAACCAATAAAGCGCAAATACAAGGATGCTGATTATAACGGCTGGAGACTCACTTTGTCAAATGTGCTGGAGTCGGCGGAATTATAATTTTCTAATGAAAATGCCGAAATCTTATGTTACCAACAAACAATTCTCCTTGTTACGCAACTTCTCGGACTGTATAACTCAAAGATAAAGACAACTGTTCTCTGCTCTTCAGCGTTCTCATAAAACGAGACTGCTTGCTTCAAACAACCAAAGTGAGCAAACCATCATATAAATGATACTGATTATTGTGCGCACCGAGCAAAGGAATTGATCTGGAACGCAGACGTCGAGAGCTGGGAGTGTGGCAGATCGTAGACAGTGAATAGTACTTAGTAATGTCCGACAAGTAGAATCTAGTGTTCGACAAATTAACACATGGTTTTGGCAATACGGCTATAAAATACAGATAAAGAATATCATAGATAGCTTTACAATAGTTTTAACTGAGGACGTCATTTGGTCAAGTTCTTTGTTTGAGGCTGTGTCTGATGAGCTGACGCAGACACAAAGGCTCCATGTGTCTTTCCTGGTGGCACAGGAGGGGCACAGTGAACTCTCACTGTTGTTTGTTGTACGGTCTTGAAACTATTTCTGGCGCCCGATAAATTACCCTGATGTATTCCACAGGGGTGATCTGTTACTAGGTGTGCGGCGATTGCTCTGGTCACGTGCTTGGCCAGTCCAGATCCCAATTAATTGGTACTACGCTTACAAATAGATTAGAATGACCACCGGTTCCTGAGACAAGCATAGTTTGCAGAACACTGGCAAACAAATGAATATTTAGCCACAGACAAATCATCGGCCAGCTGTGTATCCTTAAGAGACGTTTTGAGCAGCAGACCACAGCCGAAGTCTGTCCCTCACTGAACTGGTTTGACATACTACTGCAAAGCAGTTTCTGCTGGGTACAGCGCACTGAATGATGACAGGACGTTGGCAAGTCAAGTGTCAAGCTCGGCGAACAGATCAACAACCACCTGATCAATTAGCAAGGGGCAAGATTTGTTATTCGAAATTTGTGTTGGCGAAAAGTTGCGGGGAATAAGCAGATGAATGTCGAGTCATTACTTCTTTCTGGCTAGCGGCCATGTGAGCCTACTTATGCGCAGATTGTACTTTAAAGCATTGCATATGGGCGACCCTACAATCATGTGTTAACCAGGCTGCTGTACCCTTGTAACTTTACACTGAACTTGTAATTATTGAATCTAACTTGATACCTGGTAATCCTCTATTAATTTGCCTTATTGTGTGCTTCCCCTATACTTAATGGTCTCCACATTTCCCCTATGTACCTGCCATCCACCATGCGGCAAAGGCCGCTACGTGCTAAACTGTTATACAAACGTGTGTGTGTGTGTGAGGGCACTGACCGATATAACCACATGTGTCCGCGCTCCGTCTGCTGGGCCTGCTCTGAATTGTTGGTAGTGTGAAAGGATTCGGGATTTTTGTGGAGATTTCGTCCTGTGAGTGAAGACAACCCATGCTGAAAAGCCGAGAAGCACTGTACAGCTGTTTCATCCTTATTGGGAATCATCAGCAGTGCTTAGATTGGTTTCACTCACAGGACGAAATCTCCACTTGCCTGAATTGTTCTGTCGCGGTAATCTTGTGATCACGTCGCCCGTCAGAATCACCAAAATAAACTCGGGAGGGACGACTTCAACCCGTAATAGCGAGCCAACATTAAGCTCACAGCTGAAGATTGTGTGGACCTGGACACTGCGCTCTGCATTTGTTGGCGTAGTTGGATACCTTAGGTCTGCAGTATACGTTTATTTACGTTTTGTGAATAGTAATATGGAAATTGGTAAACAATTCTTCCTTTTGATATTCGAGTACGCCAAACTTATGCGTTCTTAGTGAAACCTGAACAGAAATTGTGCCAAAGAATAACATGAGGATATCAGCTGAGAAATAAAGAACACTGCTTCAACAATGTTCGCCAGGCATAGATAAGTTTTCTACTCTTTACCGTAGCGTTCACTTTGTGGCTTTAGGAGTTACCGTGTATCAACTGCCAATAGACATTGATGATTGTTGCAACTTTTCGCATTTCATTTACCGTTTACGCAAGCTAGAAAGCGGTTTACGCCTATAATACTACAACAAACTAAAATAAGAACACTTTTATTCAATGCAATTAGAAGTGAACAGGCCATCCATTCGTTGGCTTGGATATCAAACTTACACTATCCAAGATTACCACCCGGACATTGAAACATAGATTTTGCCGCATTATCCCGTGAAACACATTTCATTGAGTGTAAAACCGGTCCAAGGGAAACATATTCATAGGTGCCTTAGTCCCTTTCTGGATTTTCTCTCGAGGGAAGTTCGGTGTGTGCAAACAGTACTGGTGTTGGAGCGAATCCGGAAAAACACGTGAAGTTTACTAAAGGTGCCTCCCCCTTGAGGAAATTTTGTCCAAATGCTCCTCTGGTATGGTGAAACAGACCTAAAGACATTTGCATCAATAAACTCGAACTGGATATCTTAAGAGCATCTGCAGATTATTCCTTGCAAACTCTTCCCCTGGAACAGAAGCCACTTGTTCTGATGGGGCTCGATACAATGTAATATTTATCCGTATTGTGCTCATACTATTCATAACATGATAACAAGATCCCAAACACGAAGGTCATTTTGTAACCTGATAACCGCTCAGTTTTCCCTGTAGCTCGATTTATATGTACGTAGTCGAAACAGCACAAAGATTACAACTTACGGGTGATGTTGGGTTTTCCCATCCAGTTTGCATTTCAGCTGCTTCAGTCATTGATCCCTCGTCGACTTTGAAGATCTCCTGTGGCGTATCGTCTACAGATGGGTCTCGAAAGCCTCCAGTACAAGGTGAGGATTTGTTTTTTGCAAGTTCCCCGTTTCTCTCGGGAAAGAGCGGATAGTGAAGGTCAGAATCTACTTGGTACGATTCACTACAGAAAGTAGATGATTCGTGGAGTTGAGCCGACTGATCGACACATTTGTGAGAAATCTGACCTCCTTTTACCTCTAGATTCTCTCGAGTGCTATTACTCTGGGTTTCAGATGAGCAGCAACTCATTCCAGGATCTGATTCACACGCTGTACCAAGACCTTGCACGGATCCTACGTTTATCTGACGCAACCTATTCCAGCATGGACCCCGGTATAAATTGAATTTGCGTACCGAGGCTGATTTTGAACGTATATTGCGGAAATTCTGCATACAAAGAATATTTCTTGAGTCTAAGAGATCGCCTTCGCATTGCGAATGGTATAATTTTGTCCGTTTTACGGTGGGTTTTCGAAGTCCCAAGTCTGCATCACTAGATTGGGAAGTTGCCGAAAACTCGCTGCATGCCTTGGAATTCTTAGATAGGGTCTTCCGACTCGCGAGGTGGAATTGTCTACAGTCTTCGAAGCGATCTTCAGTTCCTTGATCTTGGGAGCCTCCGAGGAGAGTGTTCATTGCTACTGGTGAACGAAAACGGCTTGTTTCTCCGGAACCTAAGTAGAGGGAAAATATTGATATGAGTCAAAATGAAACGACAAACTTAACGGAAATCTTCGTTTTGCTACAAAATAATCCGTCACAATAGCGTTCCTGGTCTTTCGTTAGTTGCTCACTGTTGATGATTCCCAATGAGGACTGGCTTCATTTGGAGGACAAAAGCCCTATTGAAAGTTCCTAGAGGTCCTCACACATTCATCATTCTACGAGTAGCTCAGAAAACTAAATTCACCTCATTCTGAGAAGTCCTCGCTCGGAAAGACAATCAATACACGGCTACCTGGTGGTTTTTCTATAAATGAACGACTAGCGGCGCTAAATCCTGTCCATTTACGATTTAATCACATCGCTGCTCAGCGGGTCGCGGCTGAACGACGAAGTGTTCAAGTGCTAGCCACGAGGTCACGATTAAACCCTTCTGCGTTCTCGTCAGATTTTCACTGATTATGGTTCGAAAGGACGACGAAATCGCTGTAAAATACTTTTCGTTTTTCGATCATACCTTGGTCTCACTTACAAGAGTTTGTCCTTGTTCAACGAGACAATTTAAGAAGTGTTGGTTGCTATATCGTAACGGTGCGCCGGCTGTGTTAACGTCATTGGCTTTTCTAGGTTATGTTCCACCTTTAGAAATCAAAAGGTGACATGGGATTCTTCTACTGTGATTTTGTTCAACATGACTAAAAAAGACATTTTGTGAATCATAACGTATACTTTGGAAATAAATTGATATCTCCCAGAAATCAGTCTTTTTTCTCCGGGAGACTAGTCAAAAAAGGAAGTACTGTGGGTCAACCATCACACATTAACGCAGGGTTGAGTGATGTACTACATCACCAATGCTAGTGCAAGCTGGAATGGTGGCAAAATGAGGATACAAGGACCACCGAACAATAGTACTATCAGTGAGGTATAAAAATATAACACTGTAACACTCTTCCGGTGCCTAGCTGCCACGCCACCCAAAGGAAGCACGTGCAATGGGATACTGCCAGATTACCCAAGCCTAGACAGGGGAAGTCGAGATGCAGAGGTCGGGTTCGAACCACAGATATTCTGGTCACTAAATTCGCGCCATAACCACTTTAGCCATCTCGCCATCTCATTGAGGTAGAGAACCTTCAAAGCTAGAAGTCAGTAACGGTTTCTCCGGGGAAAGGATACAAATGGTGTTCAGATAAATCCACCTTCTTTGGGTAGTAGAAAATGCGGTTCCATAGACTGCAGAAGTATCCGCTGTCTAACGGCTGTATACATGCTGCGTATTCCTTTAGAACCTGGATATGACTTGTGAGTCATTTTGTTCAATCTATGAATATGGTCGTACAGATTTCAAGCATTCATTCATCATATGTTTTGGTTATTACCTCAGATAATCTCAAGGTAGTGTGGCCAAAGGATGTTGTGAGCAACCGCAACACCGTGTGAGGGTCGCACAGTCGGCATCTTTGAGCAAGATGTATTAGGAACGTGACTGGAAAACAGATATGCACACGACAGACTACTAATATAACTTTTGATATTACTGATGAAGCATGCGAGTAGTATATGTTTATCTCGATCCAATGCAAAGTGGGACTTATTACGGACTTTGTGAAACTGCCTTGCAGCATTCGTTTACAGTTGCATGACAGTCAATGAATATCCAGGAATGTTCAATAAGACGCGTCCAAGAAGAAGACGGATATGCAGGTGCATATGAAAGCTTTACTTTTTTTTGTCCAATAGTCTGTAACTCTTCAGTTGGTAATTTCTAATTAACAGCTCTGCTGCAAAGGGCTTTCCTCCTTTTACTGGTGAGAATGTCACAGGACTCTGGCTTCAAAGTACACAAACTCTTGTATTATTAACTTATGGGATGTGGCGCTCCTAAGGGGAGAAATTACGCCCGTGCGATTTACTGTAATGCGGCGCACCATCTTTATTGATCCCTAGCGAAAACATCGTTGTCTCTACGTTTGGTATGAGGTAGATGTTTGGTAGCTCCAGCCCAGAATTTACACCCCTGAAAATATACTGTAATGCGGCGCACCATCTTTATTGACCCCTAGCGAAAACATCGTTGTCTCTACGCTTGGTATGAGGTAGATGTTTGGTAGCTTCAGCCCAGAATTTACACCCCTGAAAATGATCAGCATGTGGCAGCGTGCAGGGTGATTAAAAGCGGCTCACATGAAGTCACAGTTGCTTTGGTGGGATTCATTGAAAAGCTTCTAATGGAGCCATTATTCGTCACAGTGTCCCTGATTGAAGGCTATTTTGTTCTATTTTGCGTGGTGTAGATCCACATCATATGGCTGAATTAACAGACACTTGCATGACCCCATTCCGAACATGGTCTCATGAGAAATGACTCAGACTAAATAGAGTTGCGATGAAACATATCCGATTTTAGATTTTCTGTCTTTTCAGTTGCGATAGTTCATGAAAACTTAAAAACCAACCCAACACCACTAGGTCTTTGTGGGGTCCGCCGTGCAACTGGTGTGTCACACTCTGTTGGCACAAAATTTTAGCAGGTTCCGAAACTAAAAATTTCCTTGGAATGCCGCATTCTCCACTGGTTTCACTTTAAGTCATAAAGAAGACTTTGAATATCATTTTTGTTTGAAAAATAGTACGTTGGTTATGTTTTTCTTGCTGTTGTCGTCCCTCCGGATGCCTTATTGAGAACACTGAACCTTCGAATCAGAGTAAATATATGGACGGGAAAGAAAAGGATTGAGTGCGGTGACCTACCAGAATCCATTTGACACTGGAACGTACACGACCCATCCAATAGTCTTGGGCTCGGAGCCACTGTATTCAGAGTGTCCAACCGAGTAAAAGAGTGCATCAGTGGGAGCACAGAACGACTCATTGGAAGTTTGGGCGATGGTAGGAGTTTGTACACGCAGAGAAACAATGCGACAAATCCTCGTTCGTTTTTTATTGGAGTGACGTTCAATTCGCAACGAAAAGGCTCCCCTAGAGATGGGAGACAAATAGGGGGTTTTATTGGATATTACGGATTCCAAAGACACTGTTGTGAAAATACTTTGGTACTATTGTAGGGGCTTCGTCTATGGTAAGTGCACTTAAGCCATTGACTGATCCTTAATACAGATATGCTTTGCTCACTGTAAATCCTCAAAAGTGTTTTTTCAGTATTTCGCATATTGTCTTTTGTGCAGTCAGATTTTGTCACTGAAGACCCGTTATTCTTCCTCAACTCCCTCGACTGGATCTGTTCCAACTTCAGGCACGTATGCTACTGGTCAATTTTATCAGTAGTTGAAATTATGTGCGTAAAGTTTCCTCAGGATATTTCCACAATTATACCAGATGCTTTCGGCAACAAAGTCTGATTTTTAATAAAAGTATTCAACGGGCAGTGTAGATTCTGAGGGGAGCCAACATTATGCTTGTCATTGTCTTTACTGATCAATTTTTAGATATTTCTGGCAGGAGTCGAAGTTGACGCATATATACAAACCCTTCAGTGGATATTCCCGTTATAATCTGTTATTAGATGGGGCAGATTGACAGCTTTCCAGAATTATGCAACACGCTGAAGACAAACGTCCATCGATGTAAGCTATTCAGCCTTAATTTTTGGGACAAACACCCAAAAATACATATTTTTTTTACAAAGGCGATAACACAATTGCCACGCGCATATTGTGTGCGAATGAAACTGGTAATGAGCAGTCGATAGCCACCAACTTTTGTGGAAAGCGGAGCGCCCGTGGGCTGCAAAGAAGGTTACTTCATCAAAAGGATGTCTCTCATGTACCTCGTCATCCGTCGACCTAAGCTTACCATTCACTTTCATCTCCGTTTCATTCGCTTGTGGCTCCGAAATGCACAGAGTGTGAGCTTTTATTCCGGAGGGTGTTTATTGAAGTTGGAATACAGACATTATAGAGATAAAAGGGCGAGACAAAAGGAAGAAAAAAGCCCAATTTGGATCTTCCTTGAACAAATGTTCCAGGGACAAGTTGATGTTCGTGTTGCACAGCCGTGTAATATACCCATGTGTATTTCACAAATTTTGCCTTTTACCTGTCAATGATCTCGACTCCTCTATGGTATGTGAACATTTGGCTTGTTCATTGTACAGGAGGGCAAATAGCCTGGGAACATTTGAAGCCGGCACTATTCACATGGAAAGATGACTACACCAATTCATTCTCAGCGCGCATGACTTGCATTCAAAATGAAGGATCAGTATTCTCCTCGAGCAATGTGACCGACCTAAAAATGTAGTTCTACCACATCGAGTAGTTCAAAATTACAATTCCATCAACCGATACGCCCTAGTGCAAGTAATTAACGTCAAATTTAAGAACGGAACCAGAGCGACGTTTAATAGGCCATACGGGATCCAAGCTGAAAAATGTGTCCCACAATCCGACATGGCTACTAGCCAACAGTGACCGTCCTCCAGCCAATCAACGTAACTTTACACGAATGAATGCCGCAGTCATCAATTGTAACGTTTTGTATTACCTCTGATGTTTTTTGATGCCAAAGGTGACGCAACTTGGGAAAAGCAAGACTAATGCGTTGGCTGTATCTGCCGCACTACTATCAAGGATAGTGCAGTCTCGGCGATATGTAGAATGTTCCATAACTTCCGATGTCTTTCCTTGAATCTCTGGAGCCTTGTTTGGAGGTTGTGGTCCCTCAGCATGACATTGCACTGCGTGCTTATGCTTCATGTACTGTTTCAAAAGATGAGAAAAATATTGTCATCGTATTCCAGATTAAAAGAGCTCTTGTTCGGAGGGACTTCCAGATAGGAATTCTGACGATCTGTCAGCGTTCACCAGGGCTCTTCACCAGTGATGCTACCAAGCAAAATAGACAGAGTGCTTGTAACATGGTTTCTGGAAAACTCCTTACATACTCACGAGCCAGCAAGTATGTAAAGACAAACAGCGCAGGGTGTCTGCAAAATCTCTGGGGAATACATTGTTGAGCATCTCGCTGAGTACTACGAACAGGTCATCATAATCAAATGCGCTCTTTAAGTCAATGAACGCTACGTGCATCCCGTTGCTTTACCATGCGTGAAGGTGTGGTTCACACATTCCTTCGTGATCGGGATCCTGGTTGCTGCTCTCCAGACCTTTCTTGAAGCGCTCTCGTAAGACAATTTAATCAGAGGCAAAAGGTTTAACTACAATGGGCGTGAGGCCGATTNTGTAACGTTTTGTATTACCTCTGATGTTTTTTTGATGCCAAAAGTGACGCAACTTGGGAAAAGCAAGGGGTATTCGTTAAGACTAATGCGTTGGCTCTATCTGCCGCACTACTATCAAGGATAGTGCAGTCTCGGCGATATGTAGAATGTTCCATAACTTCCGATGTCTTTCCTTGAATCTCTGGAGCCTTGTTTGGAGGTTGTGGTCCCTTAGCATGACATTGCACTGCGTGCTTATGCTTCATGTACTGTTTCAAAAGATGGGAAAAATATTGTCTTCGTATTCCAGATTAAAAGAGCTCTTGTTCGGAGGGACTTCCAGATAGGAATTCTGACGATCTGTCAGCGTTCACCAGGGCTCTTCACCAGTGATGCTACCAAGCAAAATAGACAGAGTGCTTGTAACATGGTTTCTGGAAAACTCCTTACGTACTCACGAGCCAGCAAGTGTGCAAAGACAAACAGCGCAGGGTGTCTGCAAAATCTCTGGGGAATACATTGTTGAGCATCTCGCTGAGTACTACGAACAGGTCATCATAATCAAATGCGCTCTTTAAGTCAATGAACGCTACGTGCATCCCGTTGCTTTACCATGCGTGAAGGTGTGGTTCGTACATTCCTTCGTGATCGGGATCCTGGTTGCTGTTCTCCGGACCTTTCTTGAAGCGCTCTCGTAAGACAATTTAATCAGAGGCAAAAGGTTTAACTACAATGGGCGTGAGGTCGATTTCTCTGTGATTACTGCATTCAATGCGAGCACTGTTTTTGAAAATATTTACCACAATCTATTAGCCCCAGTCTGTTCAGACGGTCTCTGTATCCAGCATGGGGCAGATAAGTTAGACCAGCACCGAATGAAGATACCACCCCCATTTCTGAACAAAATGTGTGGGAGTTAGTCTGGATCTGCCGCTCGTGTTTGCTTCCGAATCCTTCTTTGGTTCCGTGTTCACTTTACAGGGTTCCGTTGTACGTTAGAAATTGGGCTTAGCAAATTCAGGTGACCAGCTGAATTGTTGTTGAAAGAGTTCAACCCAGTGACAGAAGGCGTTATTCTTTCTTGGGAACAATCGCACCGTTTTAATCAGTTATTGTTTTGGGATATTTATGACGAATCAAAAGGCGTCGAATGCAGCTGCTTTTCATTTGATAAAGATTTTGAAATTATCCATAGAGAGCAACATTGTTGAGATGACTGAATCTGAAGATTGTCGTGACAGGTGCCTCTAAAAGCAGCAGTTGTAGACTTCATATAGCCTTATTCTGCAAAGCATTTCCCTCGGCTAGAAGCTCAAACCTGATTTCGGCATTATATAAATATGTTTCATACAAATTTGAAAAAAACGTAAACCGAGAGAAAGAGACGAATTTATCCCCGAAACGCCGGAAAATTACTCTGATCCTAATGTTTATTTATCATTTGTTGCTACACACCCATCGGGTGCACATTGAATGCCAAATTTATACGTGACCTACATTCGAATTACCACTACAAGCATTGGTTCATCAGCGCCTGATTAACGGTCATGTTAGTGGGTCTTAATAAACCTGATGAACAAAGTTACGCTGTGGACAAAAATTAGCTCAATAGATTACCGAATACCTAAAATATGTGCACGAGGTACTTCAAAACAAACAAACAGACAATTCATTCAAATTAGGGAGGGATTCTAAGCTGTTTGGCAAAAAAAGCATATACTGATGATGCCTCTCATAGAGACTGTATGTGGTGCCCGATTTTGTTGCTCAATAGGCGCGATCGTTTTAGGGGGATCACTGCAGTAACTGCCAATGCACTGCTGAGCTGCCTGACTAATTCGGAAAGGAAAACAACATAATCTGATAAGAAAATGGTGTATGTAGTTCTGTCAAGTGTGAAAACTATGGGTGGAAAGGACTATATCGTAAATCAATGGTGCAAAATCGGTTAAGTCAAGCACGAACACGATTGACGTGGACAAGACGCCGAACGTCACAGCTAATGGACGCACACTCACAAACACAAGTGTGTCACGTATTAGTCCAAAAGAGAGAGAGATAAAATCGCTGTACTGCGAACAATAAAACTCCAAAGGCTAATAACCAGTCAGAAGCGAAATGGATTTTTCCAGTGGCGCCAAACCTCGTTGTTTTGCCGGTGCATTTATTAGTTTACTCTCTGACCGTATACTTTGTTTAATACTTTGTATAGGATCTTTGTCAGTCACTACGTAATTCACCTATCTACGTCAGGTGCTGTCAGCAGATGTGCAGTAAACTCATCATTTTTAGACCTACATAATGAGAAAGTGTAGTTTATTCTCTTAAAAGTCACGCCACATAATAAACCGCCATCCGCCTCAACCTGTTCTATTCTCAATAAGCGTTCGGTGATCTTACCAAGTGAACGACGCTAGGTAAGAAGATAATGTAATTAATAGGCACGTGTTGCCGTGCGTCTGATTTTTCTATTGCCTCCTATCCAATATGTTTCCAGATGCGTTCATTCACATGTCCAAAATGTATTCTTTTATTCAGAGCATTCCATTTGCCAAGTCGCTCACAAGAAACGGTCAACGGACAACGATCCACATAACTGTTTTTGCCAAGTCGCTCACAAGAAACGGTCAATAGGTGACAACGATCCACATAACTCGTCGGGAGCGCTTATGAAAAGTAAAATTAGTCATTACGCAACGTTCAGCTCAAAACAAAACACACACTCTAGTTGTCAACTAAAATAACCCCTGTGAGAACTGAAACTATCAAAAGGATAAAAATATTTTTGGCCTGAATCGCATTTTAAGATCCACATACACACTTTAACTACACACCCATTGAAAAACTTGGTTCACAAGCACTCGTTTTCATTGAAACTTGTATAAGTAATTTTTCCACCTTGCTAGCCTCTTTGGTCACGCCCAATTTAAGTCGATTTCTTACTCACGTCTGGCACCAACAGTGTACCAAGCACCTCAACTTTTTGCACAACGATGAAAGTTAATGTGGGGAAGACACCACGTTCACCGCGCACATAACTTCAACCAGCATATGTTAAAGACTGGTATGCACCAACCACGCAGCTCATGCCCAAGACAGCGCTCACTGCGGCCACAATGTGATCTCCAAAAGTGTGACATCACGGTCAGCTATCCTAGGATGGCACCTGTACTTCACCCATTTATTTTAAGCTCAGATATCAACATAGGTATTAGTAGCGGTCAAATCCAGTACACCCACTGGTAAGATAAGTTTCCATATGTACTGACCTTGTTAGACACTTTAATTCAGAAACACATTCCATGGTTTGCCGAACAAGTTCATGGCACCTAGATCAAGTAGGTGATATCAAGTTATGGTCATACAGTTGTATAACGCTAGCAAGCGGTTCAAAGTTTAAATGCGTTTGAAACCTTATATGTGTTTGCAAAGCGTATTACATGGCACTAGGTCTCATAAAGCTACTTTACATAGCTGTTGGTTTACAGCTCCCAGCCAGCAGCTTACACCCGTTATTGAGAAAATCTGTGGGGTTTTAATCCAGTTATCAAGAGCGATGTTAGTATTTTGAAAAACACTTTCGGCATCACAATCGGGGTTGAATATTTGGAACCAGCTTCTGAATAAGCCGGTGAAAAATGGGGAAAAACGGTGAAAAAAACATCTTCCTTCCTCTCTCTCTGAATGTTTCCTAAGTGTAATTCCTCTAAACGTGCACATTAGGCTCTTCTGTTGTCTCATATCTCCCTCTGGAAGATTACAAGTACCCAAGTTATATGTTCGAATACAGAAACAGCATGGTAGTTTCTTCACATTTCCTCTTCATGGATTTCCTAGAAGAACAACAGTATGAATCGACCTCTGTGAACGCCATCTCGGAAACTCATTCCCCAGCATTACGTGTGGTGGTTGAAAATCACTACATTTTTGTCGGCAGACCAAAGGTTTCAATGACCCTGCTTCGAGTCATGCGATGTACAATGATTCCGGATAATTGGACACTTCTACAGAAACAGAAGTGGCACCGAGTTGGGTAAATCTTTACAATCTAATTTAGCTGTTCCTTCATACCCAAAACATAAGGATTAGACATTTGGCCTAGGAAATGGTTCATTGCAAATAAATGTTACTTGGTTTCTTACACCAGGCGGATTTGGTCTAGTTGAGAGCAAGCTACTTTTCCAAGAGTTGAATCTGAATATACAACTGGCACTGAAACTGGCCACTGACCATGGTCTTATAATGGTATATAGATGTTCTATGGAGGAAAATGTTGGTAGCTCAGGTAGCGTAGATGGCCAGAGTTTTGTTCGCTGAGCCGTGCAATTTGATTGCATACGTTTCAGCCCCAATCAAGTTGACATCATCAGTGCGTTGTTAGGGAGCGCAGAGGTGCGCAGCGATGGGTTGGTGTTCGTGCCAAAGCACAGCGTTTGCAAACTTCTGAAATCGAATTGTCCAGGTATAAAGGTGTTTCAGCAAGCAGAATAAAAATTGTCTCGATATCTCAAAACGTTTAAGCCAAGAACGGTTTGATTTTTTTGGTTATTATGCATCTCAAACTAACAATATGACGCTGGGGTACACCCCATTTCCTTTTAGTAGCCATCGATCTCAAGTTTCTAATTCCACATGTAAGTTTTAAACAATGTTTGGTAAAAACAGGGCCGGAAAAGTTCTTGTTCTTTTGCAGCAAACAGGCATTTTGTACTTCATCCCTCATGTCCATTCACAATCAAGAAAACATCACACCGTCACCTCCAGCTTTACCTGTCCGTTTGTACAGTGTAAGCTCCATGGTGAGCTCTGTTTGTTGGCAGAACGTGTGCAGTATTGTAGCTCGGTCTTTGGCACTTGTCGTAGGACCCCATAAAAAGTGACACATACTGCTGCGGGACATCACACTCGCACGGGGATAGCGAGTGAGCACCAAGAAACCATCGGAGCAGTAAACAATGGGAAAGTGTTGGGTAAGTGCGTTGCCCAAGACAAAGGCACTGTCTGCAATAAATGTGAAAGGAAATAATTAAACGCACGGAGGTTGAACTTTTGAAGTGACTAATGCATGAAAAAAAGAATATATTACACCGATAGGCGTATTTTATGGACTAATTCTCAGCTGACACTTATAGCGGTGCCTAATAATGACAAAATTGTGGATCACATGTTGTTATTCATTGTTATTCCGAAGTAATATCTTGACCATTCTCAGAAGGCAGACCAAAGGTTTCAATGACCCTGCTTCGAGTCATGCGATAATTGGACACTTCTACAGAAACAGAAGTGGCACCGAGTTGGGTAAATCTTTACAATCTAATTTAGCTGTTGCTTCATACCCAAAACATAAGGATTAGACATTTGGCCTAGGAAATGGTTCATTGCAAATAAATGTTACTTGGTTTCTTACACCAGGCGGATTTGGTCTAGTTGAGAGCAAGCTACTTTTCCAAGAGCTGAATCTGAATATACAACTGGCGCTGAAACTGGCCACTGACCATGGTCTTATAATGGTATATAGATGTTCTATGGAGGAAAATGTTGGTAGCTCAGGTAGCGTAGATGGCCAGAGTTTTGTTCGCTGAGCCGTGCAATTTGATTGCATACGTTTCAGCCCCAATCAAGTTGACATCATCAGTGCGTTGTTAGGGAGCGCAGAGGTGCGCAGCGATGGGTTGGTGTTCGTGCCAAAGCACAGCGTTTGCAAACTTCTGAAATCGAATTGTCCAGGTATAAAGGTGTTTCAGCAAGCAGAATAAAAATTGTCTCGATATCTCAAAACGTTTAAGCCAAGAACGGTTTGATTTTTTTGGTTATTATGCATCTCAAACTAACAATATGACGCTGGGGTACACCCCATTTCCTTTTAGTAGCCATCGATCTCAAGTTTCTAATTCCACATGTAAGTTTTAAACAATGTTTGGTAAAAACAGGGCCGGAAAAGTTCTTGTTCTTTTGCAGCAAACAGGCATTTTGTACTTCATCCCTCATGTCCATTCACAATCAAGAAAACATCACACCGTCACCTCCAGCTTTACCTGTCCGTTTGTACAGTGTAAGCTCCATGGTGAGCTCTGTTTGTTGGCAGAACGTGTGCAGTATTGTAGCTCGGTCTTTGGCACTTGTCGTAGGACCCCATAAAAAGTGACACATACTGCTGCGGGACATCACACTCGCACGGGGATAGCGAGTGAGCACCAAGAAACCATCGGAGCAGTAAACAATGGGAAAGTGTTGGGTAAGTGCGTTGCCCAAGACAAAGGCACTGTCTGCAATAAATGTGAAAGGAAATAATTAAACGCACGGAGGTTGAACTTTTGAAGTGACTAATGGATGAACAAAAAATGAATATAATATATATATATAATACATGCGTATTTTATGGACTAATTCTCAGCTGACACTTATAGCGGTGCCTACTAATGACAAAAATTGTGGATCACACATGTTGTCATTCATTGTTATTCCAAAGTAATATCTTGACCATTCTCAGAACGTCTTTACATCCACCTATGAGTCATCACGAAATCTGTGCTGCAGAAAATAACGCCCCGGCTGCTGAATGCCTCTTTACCTTACTACTGGGTGCCAGCAGCCCAATTTACGCGAACTGAAGAGACTACAGAGACTACGTCAATTTGTTTCTGACAGATAAAATAAGGAAGATTGAGAAATCCCTCGCTTACAGAATTAAAACTCTGGTAGATTGGTCAAACACAAACTGATAATCAGGAGGGAAAACTTATCTTGGTCGTGTTAGACAACGCTTGTTTTACAATGAAGATGCAACAACTGTCCCCGAATGTACTAAGCTTTGATGATCGACTGAAAATGCTCTGCTGGTAAGATAAATCGGAAGAACTGAGGTCAAAAACCTAAGGCCAACAACCTAGTGAACACGGGGAGAGAAAATAAAATATGGTGACGAATCAAAACGAATTTCTAGCTGGCGCGGGGGATCAAGTGGGCTACATGCCACCAACCTTTGCCTGATTCTCTCAAGTGTATGTGTAAACAGTGTAAGTAAACAGTTTCGTTTATTTTGCAACGTTAAAAAATAAGTAGTTGGCTACTAAACCAGCTCACGAATCCGTTGTGTACAGCTCCACATCTCAGTCAGCGAAAATAGATGAATGTTGTTCCTCGGTTTCAGACTATGACAGGACAAGATCTGCACAACCCCGAGATGGCTGCCCAGCAGTTTGGTTTTCTGTTTATGTTCAACTTGCATCACAAAATTTTAATGATCAGCTACCAAACATTTGTTGGTCACTAGATTTCTAAGTGCAGACAGTTTCGTCTTTGCCTCAATAAAAATAAAATTGGTCGCATAATGCTCCCCTATACATCACAAACAAAATGGAAAATAATGAGGTCCATGGATTGTGATATCATTTGTTCTTGGTATGTAAGCGGCGAGAGTTTGATTACATCGTGCGCAAAGCTTTTCACCGAGTTATACCATAATTAACTGCGTATCACGGACAGATTACCCGTCAGGTTAAAAATTGTTCCTGCTGTGATTTTTGTACAACCTAATAGCATAAGGTAGATGTCGAACAGGTGAATATAATAATCGGTTGTGTTGACTTTATGATGAATCCAAGCAACTACGGACACCCACTCAATCCCGCACTGACGATGTCACCTTGAGTGTTCCCTGAGAACATCATAAACGAGAGATTCAGCTGGGTTCCAGGTGGGTCTTTCGAAAGAACCAAATTAGTTTGCAAATGGGTGTATATAAGCCAAGCATTCATTTGCCACTGTGTATGGTAAACCAATGTGAAAGTTTTAATTTCTGGGTTCAAAATGAAACAGACTCTCCACTCAAACGTGATAGGGTTGGCAAAATAAAAAAACAGCGTGACTTCATAACGGACGTTAATACACCTTAAAGGATTATGGTTTCATGAGCTGATGAAGGAGCACCGAAAAATTTTTCGACACGACTTGATAGTAATTTTTCTAAACGAGATAAGGATACTAGAAATTGGGTCTCATCTCTCGTCTCTCATCTTTCTCGTCTGTACCACATGAAATAAGCCGCATTAACGAGGTGGGTCAGAAAGTATGAGATTAGGGTGATCAACCGCCTCCAAGTGAAATAGATCGAAAAAGCCACGCCAGACCGGATTAACCGAAAATTTGCTTGCTTGGGACAACAGGAAAAGCAATAAGCTTGGGATACTTTGCAAATGAATGAATTCATTTAGTGTTTGTAATCAGTAAAATTATCACCGTGAACTACCAGCTATCCTGGAAAGCTGTATTCATATCATTGGATGCTTCTAATGCAATGAATCTCTGGGGTCTAGCCGGCTGGTCACCGTTAAGTGCTTTCCAAAATTTTTCCTGTTTAAACAAAGCTTCCGAGAGGATTCCCTAATAATTTACCATTTAAGTTAATATTTTTTTCTTTATGATACAAATTAGATCACAGAATTGCAAATGTTTCCATCTGAATTGGGAAAAACATTATTCACTTCCCAAATGCATATTAAAAAAAATTGTTAGAAAAAGCTCCGGAATTGCGAAATGAACAACAATCATTCAAATTACGCAGATGAAAATGTAAAGCCCAACGCTAAACCAAGGGAAACACAGGATAGCGCGTCGCGTAATACTACTATTCCAAGCCATAATCTGGCCTAATTAGGGAAAAATTATCGACAGGAATTTGGATCATTGTCGGCGTTCTTTAGCTGCTCATTGAGTGTCACCCGAGAGGCTTTTTATGAGAGAACCCTAAGGGATTGGTTCGAAAAGTAGCACCATGATAGGGGCTGCGTCCAAACTAGACCAGATGAAAGGGTGGTTCCATATTGACAGTGTATATGTATTACGTGGTTTCTTCCAAACTGCGATGCCCCTGGAAAATTCTGGTTTCGGTGACATCTTCAACATAACTGAATCTGATTAGTCAGGTTATCTTCACAACACACTCAATCATCAATCAACTAGGGTATAAGTTTCAAGAGCAATTTTTTAGGGAGACACTATGTAAACTGTTTTTGGAAATCGATTTTCATGCACCTTCTACGGTACCAGGGACGAAAGGACGTTCGTGTTCATACATTTTGACAGCACCAAAACCTGAATTAACTTTTGTGTTGAACGCTCGGTCAGAGTACAACCTATTATCCGTACTAACTGGTGGCCAAACGGTTAGTCTGGTTAGTCTACATGCTCCAGGAGAGCAGTAGACTTTAAATGTAGGTTGCACCAACCAGAAGCAGCAGACACTGTAATTGGTCAGCTCGTTAGTGCGACAACAATTGAGTTGGCTGCTGCGCGAACACAAATTACAGGCGTCAATCTAAAAAACGCCATTTTCTTGAGGGAACTGAGCTTGGATGTGCAGAGCTAAATCCTCTGTGTCGCGACGTATCTTGTATAACGAAATAAAAATTATCCGTATCCACCATACGATTCGGAAACGTATTTGCTTTGTGCACCGGCAGCAAACTTGTATGAATAGGTTGGAGTAAACAAACCAACATGCAACCAGTTAATCAGCTGAACACTTACTAATTCCCCGTAGTTGACAAAAATAGCGCTAACTAATCTATAACCGACCCTGAAATGTCGTGGCAAAACTCCTTTTTAGGTTGGCCCCTCACTATCAGGTAACCACTCCTAACAACACTTTCTTGTTTTGCGCTTTTGGTTTATTCAACCTGGGAATATAGGATGCCAACCATTCATCTAACTGGGGTGTTGGTTTTCAAAAAACAATGAACTGCCAATGAATACAAACGATAATTAAGGGACAGCTATCTGCAAATACCATTTATCTTATGGGTTTGCTTTGATGTGTTGCGTGAATTAAGAAACGTTTGACTGGCACAATCGTTTGTAATAGGTCTGCTAGCCCACGCCCCACAGCTAGGTTAAAAGTCATAGCCCTCAAAGATGAAGAGAATTCCATACAACAGGCAGATATGCGTATATCCGCACTTTTGGTAAGTGTTGTACCATGAATCGTCTACGTGGGCAGTAAATCCTATTCCGACACAACTGCTTGGCACCACTTCAATCATATTGTAGGCTGATTTTACTGGAGTACTCGGAACGCAAATAGGCCGAATTTTTTCTGCTCAGGTGTATTCAGTGAGTGCTCAACAATGTATTTTCGCGCCAAATTTTTAAATGTTCTTGATTCTTATCTTGGTTGTGCAAAAACTGTCGATGGGGTGCAAAATCTATCAGGTTTGCATCAAATAAAGTGCAGAACTGAACACGTTTTTATTGGTGAATTCTGTTACACAGTCACCGAAGATGTCTTCATTTCATTCACGCTACTGGACAGCCGATTTTCTGAGTATACACTACCAATAACCTAATTCATTCATTTATGAAGGAGAAAATGCTCTTAACTTTTCTAACAATCTCATACTGTAAACAAATACCACAAAGTATAAAAAAATTCGAAAAACTGTTGTGTAGAAAAATAATTCCCACGCAAAACCAAGATGAGACGAACGCCAGACCATGTCAGTGACACGTCCAGCCACCTAAATCTTGCAGTATCTTTTCTATTATGTATATCGCCTTCTGGTAAATACTCTACGTTGCTTTAAGTTACTACTCGGTTAAAATATT